AGGAGGGCATGTGTCCATCTGAAGGAAGGCCTGTCACCTAGCCCTGCGCGCACCTCTTCTCCTGTTGTGGCCGCTTGGTAAATGTGGCCAGTGGTTGACTTATACAGTGTGAACAATGATCCCACCTCAGAGGGACTCTGGGAGGGCTGCCAAGGGCAGGCCCCTAGTTCACAAGACAGCTGGGTTGAATGGGCAGTGCTGTCACCGTGAGAGCTGTCACCAGTGACAGCTGTGTGCTCTGCTGGGTAAGGAGCAAAATGAAGTCTTCACACGCATGGTCTCCCTCTTTTCTCACAAGGCACCTGAGACAGTCTGCTTCTAAACGTGTACAGAAGAGTGGGAAGTAAAGGGTTAAGCCCAGATGAGTCCCTGAGGTTAAGCGGGCTGTCTGGAAGCCTTTAGGGCTGAGTTAAAAGCAAGTGGCATTTGGAACTGAATGTGGGGACAGGAAATGTATACTACTTGTACTTTTAAGCAGTTACATCTTTTGCATTGCTGACCTCGTGGTTGCTTTCCCACATAATCAAGGCCTAAGAATTGGATTTCTCAAGAAAGTCACTGTGCTTCTGGTTTTTTCTGTTTTGTTCCTAAAATATTGAGTTTAATTGTAGGCCCAGTTTCCTGTGCCAGTGTATTTTTGGTTTGTAAATAAGTTGGTAAAACAGTCATTATGGCAGCTAGATTTCAAAATAATATTTTCCTCATTTATCAAAATGAAGATAAATAGCTTGCTATATAAAGCATTAGTGGATTTTCCACTTAATAATAATAATATAAGCATTATTTTGAGCCACTGTAGAATCCGTCAATTTAATAACTAGCTGGCTGCTACAGGCATGTTTTTTAAAGCTAATCACATCTGATTGTCCACGGTGGCGTTACTGACAAAAAAAATCTCTCCGTCTTCAGAGCAAGCCAGAGAATATAACTGCCTGTGGTGTCCTGTGTTACGGCCTTGAGCTATAAACTTGAAAACTGTATGAGCTCTGGTACTCCTTCTGGGAGTAGATGTGTGCACAAAATGACACAAGCACACATCTGGGCTGCTGGCCGCAGGGTTCTCACCCACCTAAGAGAAGCACAGCAGCTCCCATGGCTCCCCTGGCTCTCTGCCTCCTGCTCACACGGCGGCGGGTATATGGGGACTTGTGGGTTGGGCCCTTGGTGCAAGGCACACTGCTGGCTGTTAGTGGGCTGCCAAAGAGATAGCAGACTGCAGCTGCCCAGCCTGCCTGTGCAATCCTGTGCTGCCTGCACTAAGTCAACTCCTTTCTCTTTCTCATCTCGAGATGATTTGTAGGTCGTGTGGAGTTAAAGACAAACCAGATCTTTTGGGCAACTTTCTAAAACATGCACTTTTTTTTGCATAGTGGGTGTATTTCTAGCTTTGTTGCCAGTTACATAAAACACTGCCTAGTAAGCTTATAGTTTATCATTCCAAAAAAAATCACATTAGTTGTTATTGGCAACATATCAGTAGTGGTTTCAGTGTTTGCTGTAGTCACTGAAGTTAGCCACATGCTATAGTTTGGATGCTCAATGTCCCTTATCGGCCCATTTTGGCTTGGTCCCCAGAATGGCACTATTGGGATGCAGCGGGACTTTTGAGAACATGCTCCCACAAAGGGACCCTAGTGGGCACTCTGCAGCCAGGTGAGTAGAGCCCTGCTCAACTGTGTTCTCACCGTGGTGTCCTGCCTCAAAGGCACTGGAGCCAGTCTCTTAGTTAGCTGACCCACCAGTCTCAGTTAGTTTGTTATAGCCACAGTCAGATTAACACACTATGAAATTTTTTTCTCAATACAGCTAAAGCAGATGTTTCTACTGGAAACAGTTATAGTGCTAAGAATAGCCAGAATATAGTTACTGGCCAAAATATTCAAATATTTTTGAGACTATAAGAAAAAAAACTCATGAAATCATATGTTCTAATAAATCATCTTCCTGACCTTCCCAAAGAAGGGAACTGGCCAAACTGCCTTCCTTTCCCTTGGAGAACAGGTCACGTTTATTATCTGCTAGTGCAGGCATTTTCTTTACCCCACATGGAAAGCTGATGTGTCTGAGAAAGACGAGGTGTTTCTTAGCCTTATGCTTCTCCTTCCTAGATACTACAGTGTAGTCTTGTTGATTTCTTTCCCTCCATATGGGTCACAGATTAGCTGTGAGGCCTGATTGTGTAGGTTTGTGACAGTGCCATTATTTATTTCTGTTGCTTCTGAGTTAGGCATGGACTTCAGTCTGTTTGATTGATAGGACTCTAGAGAAGAAAATGAATGCCAAGAAAAACTGCACTCTGAACTTTTTATAGCGTGTATGCATGATACAGGGACACCGTGGCCAGGCTGGGCCTCATAGGGATACCCACCTAAAAAACGATAAGGCAAACAGAAAAGTACCGGGGTTCGTACCTGGGGACCTCACACAGGCTAGGCAAGCATTCTACCTGCCACTCAGACAGTCGGGCCTCACTGAACAGTAGGATTTATAACAACACTTTCTGTTGTTAGTGGTCTAAAGGATGAGGTTATTCCTTCAGCTATTCTGGCTTGTATCGTTTAAGAAACTAGAAATTTGCCAGGCAGTGGTGGTGCACACCTTTAATCCCAGCACTTGGGAGGCAGAGGCAAGTGGATCTCTGTGAGTTCAAGGCCAGTCCAGTCTACAGAGTGAATTCCAGGACAGCTAGAACAGTTACACAGAGAAACCCTATCTCGAATAACCAAAGGGGGAAAAAAGAAAGAAACATACAGTTACTAGCAGAAAAACTTTCTTTATCTCATCATTTTATTAGAATTTGTATTTGAAGTGTATTTTTCTGTTTGGTTGGTTGGTTGGTTTTTCCAGTCAGGGTTTCTCTGTATTGTTTTGGAGCCTGTCCGGGAACTCACTCTGTAGACCAGGCTTGGTCTCGAAATCACAGAGATCTGCCTGCCTCTGCCTCCCAAGTGCTGGGATTAAAGGCGTGTGCCACCAACTCCTGGCTCTTGAAGTGTATTTGTTATATTTATGCAGATGTGTGGCATTTTCCTAGGAATGCCTGTGTGTACAGAAACGCAGGGAACTGTGGGAGCATAGGAAGCACCTGCCACCATCATCTTACGTGTGCTTTCCTCCTTGCCTCCTGCAGTGAATTTCATGACAAGAGGAAGATGTTTGGGGAAGGGGGCATGGGTGTGATGAGGAGGGGGTATGGGTTGTCACAGAAGCCTTCTATGTCACTTTTTCCCAACTGTGAGTCAAGACCTGAATTTTATCCCCTATTTTGTCAGACACAAATTTCCATTTTAAAAAACATACCATGTGTCTTTTCCACTTTCCCTTTTCATTCATGGACAGTGTCAGATCTCTGACAAGCTTTGCTTTGTTTTTTGAGTGGTACCTCTGCATCAGGCCCAGAGCCTCGAGCACGCTGAACGTGCATTCCACCACTGAACCTCAGCGGCAACCTAGAATCTAACCTGGGAAAATGGCTGGGTGCTAAGAGCCTTTGTTCTGTGTGCCTGAGGACCCAAGTTCCCACAGCACACACACATGCTGGGTACGGCTGCAGGTGCCGATGACCCCGACTTAGGGAGGAGTAGAAAGACAGATTCCAAGAGTTTGCGAAGCAGCCAACCCAGCCTACAAGCAAGTTTCTGGTTCAGAGAGACCAGGGCTCAGCATAGTAAAGTAGAGACCAATAGAGGAAGACACGTGCTAGACATCCTACGTGGCCATGCACAGCATCACACATCCACTAGTGCGCGCGCGCGCGCACACACACACACACACACACACACACAGAGTCAGGCAACAACAAGCCCAGAGTTCGGAGTTTGTGGAGAAAATGGGTTAGAAGTAACAGTGACACAGGAATAAGGGGAAATCTCACCGAGCTGACCGTACAGTCTTACACATTAGTAAGTGCAGAGGGTGCTGTGATAGGATTTTTCCCTTGGAAGTGAATACAGCTTGCTTGAGGAAGTAGGCATTCTTGGAAGGGCTTAAGCGTATGAGTTACTGGCAAGTGTCAGAATGGTTGTCTGGAAAGGAATATGAAGTTGTACTCTTAGATAAGGCGTACTTCATACATACCCAATGAACTAAAAGCAGCTGGTGGGTATTGGAGATGTGTGCAGATGTATGTCTTATCAATTTTGGTGGCTATGTCTGCTAGATGCAGTTCTCTGCATTCATAGGGTTTTCCATACATTTAGAAACTATGTGTAATGTGTGTGTGCCAACACAGGATTTGGGCTGTGCTCGGTTCATTCTCCCGTGTGTCAGCTTCCTTAGAAAACACTGCCACTCGTTACAGCAGAACCAAGGATATCCTTGGTCTGATTTTGAGCCTTTGGAAATAAAATCAAGACCAAGACAAACCTGGTGAGCGATGAATGACAGTAGGGTGTGAACACGGGGTTTGCAGAGTAGCAGCAGACACGCCTGGTAGAGCTGCTGAGGGGCTGAGAATCATTGTCCTTTCTGCCTCTCCTTGATCGGGATTAGCTGCCTCCTTTGTGCCAAAGACAGGCCCACTACCTCTCCCAGAACTCTGTATTTTTACACAGACGAGGGTAGGGAGGATGGGGCTGGTAAGTGTGACCAGAATGTAATATCTGCGTGTGTGAAACTGTTAAAGAATAAATTGATTGAAGCATACCATTTTATTGTAACTTTGTGGGAATTCAGTGTGCTGATGTCCCTGTGGAGTTTGCTCTCTGAAATGTGCCCAAGTTGGACCCAAATTAAAGGATAAATACGAGCCTGGTGGACTGGACGTTGTTCATGAAGTATTGAGGAAACTGGGCCGAGGTCTCAGACAGAAGGAGGGTGGGTTGCGGGCTTCGTGGCACTGTCCGTGTGAGCTGCACTCCCATCACAGCACGCCACAGGAAGCGTGGGCTCGGAGACCTTCATGCCAGAGTTTTAAAGTGGGTGCTTTGCTGCTCAACTGTTAGAAAATGTTTGTGACTGTAGAAGTACCACTCAGAATTCCTTTTTCTTTCTTCTTGCAGCCACAATGAGAGGAAAGTGACCTGTAAGCATCCAGTCACAGGACAGCCGTCCCAGGATAATTGTATCTTTGTTGTGAATGAGCAGTAAGTGAAGTGTGCCTTGGAAACCCCGTACACAGGGTGGGCTACACGGGATTGCAGCAGCTGAGCTCTTTCCTTTAACTGGACATCCGCCGTCAGATATAACAGTTGCAGCTGCTTACTATTACAGAGAAACATGGTGTAATTTTTTTCCTAAGGAATTTAATTTTACAAGCTCTTTCGTGAGAACTTAAATTCTGACTCTTAGCTCGGGATGCCAGGCTAAAGAAATCTGCAAACTTAGTCTGTTCGACTGAGTCGAGCTGTTTCTAACCGTTCGGTCTGCGGCTGTGTAATTAACCATTCTCTGTAAATTTGTGTTTGTTTGTTGCCACATCTTCCCCACTGTGTGCCTTAAATCTGTCCCGATATTAGTTACTTCTAACAGTAGAATCATTGACGTTGTAATTTGTGTGTGTGCGCGCGCAAGCGCGCATGCGAGTGTGCATGTGTGTTTACATGCAGATGCAGAGAATTGAGTCCAGGGCCTTGTACATGCCAGTCACATGGCTCAAACCCTCGTAGTTGATTTGTTTTTTTTTAAGATTTATTTAATTATTATGTATACAGTATTCTGTCTGCATGTATGAAGAAGGTACCAGATCTCATTATAGATGGTTGTGAGCCACCATGTGGTTGTTGGGAATTGAACTCAGGACCTCTGGAAGAGCAGTCAGTGCTCTTAACCTCTGAGCCATCTCTCCAGCCCGTTGATTTGTTTTTTAACTTTTCAGTTGAATGACCAAGAATATCTGCAATAATGCCTATTTAAATATGGTACCAGCTTACTCTGGGCTAGAGGCAGAAGTGCTGGTCTTATTTAAAGTGGTGACGGCATTAAGTGTGGTAACGTGTCAAAGTTTTTAAAAGAAGGACACCTGTATAACTGGGGGGGGGCGCGTTGGTGTGAAGCAGTTCACATGGGCAGCAGACTGTAGCGTTGGTATGTTTTTCAGGACTGTTGCAACCATGACATCTGACGAAAAGAAGGAGCGACCCATAAGTATGACAAATGAAGCTTCCAATTACAGCATGGCTTCAGACTGTATAGTGCATCCCATGAGCCCTGTGGGCAGAGTAAGTTATTCTGCTTTTGGTTAATTAGGGGAAAGTATTAGTTAGTATCTGCTGCTATTACTTAAAGTTGGAATTAGAGAATGATAATTGCATTTTTATTATAGCATGGTACTAATTATACTGGTAGTAATTGACATGAAGTGTAGCTTCAAATATAAATGAATAAAATTTTAAAGACCTGCATTTCTTTTATATGCTGAGCGAAGCTATTCAGTAATTTTGCAAACATTGTGGATGTTTGTATGAGGGAATGGGTACTCTGTTGAATCAGCTAAACTTTTTGTTTGTTTGTTTGTTTGTTTGTTTTGTTTTGTTTTTTGTTTTTCGAGACCAGGGTTTCTCTGTGGCTTTGGAGCCTGTCCTGGAACTCGCTGTGTAGACCATCCCGGCCTCGAACTCACAGAAATCCGCCTGCCTCTGCCTCCCGAGTGCTGGGATTAAAGGCGTGTGCCACTAACGCCCGGCCTGAATCAGCTAAACTTTTAAAGGGAATATAGTAACCTAGAAATCGCATTTCTTTGCATACAGTTCTTATATGTGAAATAGGCCAGCAAAAGTAGAATTGTAAGTTTTTCCTCCAAATATCAGAGATGTCTGGAAGAACATGAAAATGGAGGCAATCTTAAAGCTCCAACAATTAATACTACATGTTCTGTCCTGCTTTCTCCTGTTTAGACATCACGGGCTTCGAAAAAGGTTCATAATTTTGGAAAGAGGTCCAATTCAATTAAAAGGAATCCGAATGCACCCGTGGTCAGGCGCGGCTGGCTGTACAAGCAGGTACTCTCTGTCTCCGTTGTCAGTGTTCAAGTGCTGCCGGCTGTTGACTAAGGTTCTTTATAAATGAGGAGTTCGCTTTTACTGTGGGTTCCAGACAGTGGCTACCAGTGACTGAGGTGTCACCCAGCATCCAGTCTTGTTATCTGCCTCTTCTGTGTCTTATCCCGGGGAGTCATACCAGTTCCCCGACCTGGTCATTGGCACATCTCCTAGATGTTTAACGTCTATCATTAGAGTCCCCCAAACCTGTGGTAACCCCGTGTTCTTTAAACCAGGTTCAGTAGCCCATGTCTGTAATCCCAGTATTCGGCAGGCATGGGCAAGGGAGTAACAAGTTCAAGGCCACCCTGGATTCAACTCCAAATACAAGAAAAAAATTTCTTTTTAATTACATCAGTGGCTTAGGGACCACGCAGGCCCATTTCTTTATAGTCAGTAATTGACTTTTGGTGAACCTGATAACATTTACTCATAAAACACACCATAAATGTGCTGTGAAGTACTCCTGAGATGCTGTTTACCCAAGAGTCGGGGAAGGGGGGTTAGAGGAGAACCATCCTAAGGTCCATGCCCAAGCCTCTCTGCACGTCTAGTTTGTAAGAGGGTCTCTGTCCATCTTACCTACTACATATAACCCCCAGATAGTTAAGTAGCTTGACACAGTTGGACCCCGTGACCTCTCTCTCTAAGACACCTGCAGGTCTTGTCTCTCACTCCCACAGTTGGACATTATGGCGCAGTGTTACTAGTGTAAGTGTCTAGTGATAGACATGTGACCTTAAAATTTTTGTAGCTCCCCTGTTTGATCCAAAGAAAGAGTGTAATTAAGACTGAAAATGTCGTAGACCATTCACAAACATGTCCCCTTGGTATGCTTTGGTTTCTCCTTTGGGGTTGCTGTTCACTTTAAAGTAAAACATCTTACATTGAGGATGTTTTTCTACCCATATTTGGTCTCTTTCATTTTTAGATCACTGTTACATTAGCTATAAATATTCTAAGAAATATTCATTCAGACATTGAAATAGGTGTCTAGCGTCTTGAGGGCATCCAGTTTTCTCCAGCGTTCTTGTTTATTGGATGTGGGAAAGTCATGTTTATTAAAAGTGTGACATGCAGCCCCCATACCCTCCTCTGGCAAAAAAAAAAAAGTGTGGTGTCATTTGAAGCTGGTAGTTTTATGCAGTAGATCGCTTAGCATTAGCTAAAGGGATGCAGTCTTGCAGGATGAGTAAAACCTAACTGTGGAGGGCAGAGTGTTTACTCACTGAATTTGTCTACTAAGTTCATTTTAATCGTGTAACCTTTGAAATAATTTTAGGGCACATATTTTGCTTCTTGCTGGCGATTAACCTATTTATTGAGTCTGGTAACCAGAGTGAGTCTGTGCACCATTGCGTGCGTCTCTTATTCCCATCCTCACAAGCTTACGTTCAGAAGAGTGAATTTCAGGTGACTTCAGCCCACTCTTCAGAGAGCAGTCAACGTGTGACCATGTTAACATAATACAGTTCCTTTAGTCGGCATATAAAAATGTTATTTATTTATGAAGAACCTTGGGACGTTTTCATACATAAAAGCATTTCAGGAGCAGCATGTCTGCATCCTCAGGTGTCCATCATTTGTCTGTGGTGGAAACATCCAGTCTCTCTGGAGCATGCTAGAGTGACCCGGTTGTGCAAGTAGCAGATGAGAACTTTTTTTTTTTTTTTGCAATATATCTTTTTTTTTATTTATTTTTCAGTTTAAATTTAGATAAGAAACAAGGTTGCTTCACAAGTCAGTTCCAGATCCCTCTCCCTTTCCCTCCCCTCCTCCCCTGTCCTCCCTCCAACCCCCCCCCATTATCCCCTCATTTCCCCAGGGAGGGTGAGGCCCTCCATGGGGGTGTCCATAGTCTGTCACTTCATATAGGGCAGGGCCAAGACCCTCCCCCAAGAGTTCAGGGTGAGAGTGCACTTCACATTGTTGGATGGGAGTCCAAAGTCCATGTGTATACTCGGGATGGGTACTGATCTACTGCCCAAGGCTCAATAGATTCCCTAGGCCTCCTCACTGACACCCAGATTCAGGAGGTCTTGATCAGTCCCATGCTGGATTCCCAGGCTGATGCCTGGGATTCAAGAGTTAACCTTTGTCAGGTCAGCTGTTTCTGGGGGTTAAACCAGCCCAGTCTTAATCCCTTTGGTCATCAGTCCTCCCTTCTGTTACTGGCTTTCTTGAGTTCAGCTCAGTGCTTAGCCATGGGAGTCTGCCTCTGCTTCCATCAGCCACTGAATGAAGGTTCTGTTTCCCAGACTCTCTGGCCATGGGATTGTAGGCTGGCACTCCCCAGATCTAAATCCATATATGAGAGAGTACATGCCATGTTTCTCTTTTTGTGACTGGGTTACCTCACTCAGGATGGTTTCTTCTAGTGTCATCCATTTGCCTGCAAATCTCAGATGAGAACTTTCTGATGGGCCTTTTAATGAGGTTATGTTGTATGCATGTCAAAATGTGTATCAAAAGTGTCTTACATCTGTTATTTAACACAGGACAGCACCGGCATGAAGCTGTGGAAGAAACGCTGGTTTGTGCTTTCTGACCTTTGCCTCTTTTATTATAGAGGTGAGTTCACCAGGTGCTCAAGTATCTTCATAACTGCAGTGTATGGCAAGCACTAGCTGCGTCTTAGGAGAAACGACATTGGTACTTTGGCTGTTTGCAGCTAGCCTTTCTTCACTGGCCCTAGAGTGTAGCAGGAGACAGAGCAGGGCTCCAAGCAGAGTGGAAACAGGGTCTCACAGTGTCCTCTGTCACCCTGTCTTTGAGCACAGTACCTAGCAGGAAAAGCCCTGGTTTGGGTGTTTGTTTTAGAGCTGGTGTGTCACCCTGTACCCAAGCTCCCCTGGGAGCGGTGAAGCTGCCTCAGCCTCCCAGTTTCTGGGATCATAGATAGACATAACCATCACTGGCAGCCAAGACTGTTAGATGTTAATTTTGTGAGATCTAGCTGTGGATTTATAGACTGTCTGTAGCTGTAATTTTATTCAAGTGAGTACAGTATCAGAAATTATTATAGTGGATTAGAAAATGAAAAACCTGCATTACTGTTGCAAATGTGCGTATACAGTTGTACATATATATCTATTTAGGTTTTCCTTTCTGAGATAATCTGGCTTAGTGCATGCTGCCTTGTACTTGAACTTCCTTCCTGAGTGCTGAAAAATCAGTTGTCATTTTCTCCAAAAAACATGGAAAAGGTTATGTGGAAGATACAAAGCAGGCTTTTACTACTAACACTGAAGAAATGTAGGGGTTACAGCGTAAATACGTCCCTTTCCTTCTCCTTGATCGACATGTAAGGTTCCTTCTGGTTTTTCTCTTTCTTAGGAAATTATTAAGACAAGCTCTCATAGTGTTGCCTAGGCTAGCCTCAAACTCTTGGGTTCAAACAACCCGTCTCCCTCAGCATCCTGAATAGCTGGGATGTAGGCAGGCTCATGCTACCATTTTGAGGTAATGGATAAAAATCTTAAGGTAAAAATCCAGCAATTCTATTAAGATGTCAGACTTCAAATTTGGTACCTGTGGGCGAAAGAAAATTGTACCAAGATACAGTTCTCTGAAGAAATATACTCCAATTATAAATTGTGAATTCGAACAATCTCTCCTTTAAAATCTGACTAGAAACTATCACTTAAGAATTAGATTTGGGGGCTGGAGAGATAGCTCAGGAGTTAAGAGCACTGGCTGTTCTTCCAGAGAAGTTCTGAGTTCAATTCCCAGCAACCACATGGTGGCTCACAACTATCTGTAATGAGATTTGGTGCCCTCTTCTGGCCTGCAGGAATACATGCAGACAGAATACTGTATACATAATTAATAAATAAATAGATAAATAAAAAAGAATTTGATTTGTTGGGGCTGGAGAGATAGCTCAATGGTTAACAGGACTGGCTGTTCTTCTAGAGGATATGGGTTGGATTCCCAGGACCCACATGGTCTATAACTCCAGTTCTGGCTTCTATAGGGGAAGAAATTTAGATTATTAGCTTGTCACTAATTGTGACTGTCCTTTGCACATAGCAGTTACACAATATGCATTGGGTATATTGATTGGAGAATGACTGTAATCACCTGCTGTCACTATACTGGGACCTAGGACCTTATGTACTTGTCAATATTTGCTGTATGGAATTGGGAACCCCAGCATTTTATACATATGTATTTTTTAAGATGCACATATGTGTATGAGGGTTTGCCTTCGTGTATGAATGTACACTGCATATGGGCCTGGTACCCAAGGCAGCCAAAGAGGGTATGAGATCCCCTGGAACTGGAGTTAGTGTACTTGTTTTCCCTCTGCTTTGTGGTTTTGGCATCTTAATCGACCATAGACAAGCTTTCCTCCGGCGCTGTGCATTTGGAACTCTCCATGCTGCATTTGTCCAGATGTCCATGTCTTTCTCCAGACTTCAGGAGTTTTTGCTGTAGTTCCCCTTTGATTTTCTGGTTTGGTTTGGTTTGGTTTGGTTTTCCTCCTCCTACCCCAATGTATTCTTTTTTTTTTCCAGAAGCATTTTCTTATTTAAAATTATATCAAAGCTACATCAGAATTATATCAAAAGTTATATAAAAGCAGCATACTGTACAAAAACAGAAACAACAGTAGAACAGGACCAATAACCAAGAAATACAGCTGAACAAATATAATGTAGTCGGCCTAGTGTTGGCAAGGATGACGCTAAGAGGACAGAATGGGAGATGGATAGTCTGTTCAGTAAACAAAACTGAGAAAAGTGGATATTCACATGCAAAAGAATGAAATTGAGCTGGGTGTCGGTGTCGCACGCCTTTAATCCCAGCACTCAGAAGGCAGAAGCAGGCGGTTCTCTGCAAGTTCGAGCCTAGCCTGGTCTACAGAGTGAGTTCCAGGACAGCCTCCGAAACAGTACAGAGACACCCTGTCTGAATAAAAACAAAACAAAACAAAAAAAGAATGAAAAAGCCAATTTACAAGGTACAAAATATGTAAACATGAGTCCTGCAGCTGTACCAAATGTAGGTGTGAACACAGGGGAGAGTTCCTTGACGTTGGCCTCCGCACCGACTTTATGAATGTGGCTCCGTTAAGCTAAAGCTTCTGCAAAACAGGAAGCAATCATCACAGTGAAAGTTAGCCACACACCTGATATTCAAATTGACGCCAAAGCCTTATAACTTCCTAGCAGGATGAGAAATGTGGCGCTTACGAACTCAGTTGAGGACCCCTCCCCTCTCATGACTGCGCCTGTGTTCCTGGGCATTGGGCTGTGTTCATTTAGTTAGTTTCCAGTGTGGATGTTTGACTGCAGCAGACCTGGTCCTCCATTGCTGATAGATAGTTCTTTCTCCAGCTTGGCCAAGGCTACTGATGATGCTTCCTACTTTTTTTTTTTTTTTTTTTTTTATGTTTTCCTTTCCACTGATTCTCCTCCCACGTGCCCTATCTCAATTTCCTTACTAACTTTTTCTTGCACAATGCTCACTCTGTATCACTGACTATCCCCCTTGGGTCGGAGATTGAATTTATCCATTTATCTGCTTGCTTGTTTCATCTTTGAGGTATATTGGTTTTACTAACTTTGAAATCATCCAGCATTTATCTGTTTCTGCATGTTTGGGTGTGGCATTGTGATTTCTTGAAGTAGTCGATGGGCTTGCTTTTTCTAATTTAGGAGTGTGTCTAGGTTGTGGTTTGCAGATCCTGTGGTTTGGTTACTTCTTTTGATTTTACTTGCTAAGCTGCTTGCTGCACAGCCCACTCTTGAGAGGAGCTGACACACTGTTTCCAGCCGGCCGGGCTTCAGCGCTTCAGCTCCCGGCTCCCAGCTCCTTACAGCTCCCGGCTCCCGGCTGGAGCTGTGTCCTGTGACTTGCCAAAGCTTTCCCTCCCTCCCTTCCTGTCTCTGTTGAGTTTTAGATGACTCTTCTTAACGAGGTCATGTGCAGGCACCTTCTGGTCCTGCATCTAACCCAGAAGTTCCTTTTCTGTTTGCAGTTTTTAAATTTACCTTTGGATTTTACAAAAGATGTGTGGCAAGGTTCTGTGGTCGCCTGCCAGTGACAAAATACGTATTAATCTCCTAAATATAGAATTACTAAACTTGTTTACCAGTCGCTCCCCATAAACTGTGCTTGAGGAGTGCTGCTAAGTGAGAATTACCAACCCTATCCGTTTCATTTTGTCTCTAGCCAAATGAACACTGGCCCGGCGTCGGTTGTGGTCTTGTCTGTCTCTGGTTGGCGCCAGACTTAATGTATAATTTCCCTCATTGCGTTTCCCACTCTTGGGGAAAAGTTAAGAGTTCTCTCCAGAATTACCCATGAGCTAGTTGTCCGCATTTTCCTCCTTTTCAGTATACTTATTGATAATTTGGAGTATAAAATGATAGCAATAAAATGTTTACTACTCCAAATTTATTTCTAGAATAAAAATTTCATAATAATCTATAGCAAAGGAATATTGAGTTCTTTGTAATAGCATTGATCCTGAAAGGGGCATGGTCTTATTTATTATGAACATGTGTGCATGCGCGCATGTGTGTGTGTGTGTGTGTGAGAGAGAGAGAGAGAGAGAGAGAGAGAGAGAGAGAGAGAGAGAGAGAGATCGAGATCACAGGGGACAGGCATACACACGTCACAGCAGAGAGAATGAGATCAGAGAACCCTGGCGGGAATGAATTGCTTCTCTCCTTCCATGCGTGGGTCATGGAGTGTGAACATGGCTCACGTGCTTACATGGAAAGTGCTTTCACCACAGAAATCTTTAAAACAAACAGAGCTGTGGCATGGTGGCACACTTTAATGCCAGCACTTGGGAGGGAGGCAGTAAGTTGGTGCTGTCAGGAGCAGACATGCCTCACTGTCGTGAGAATCTTAGTTATTAAACACCTTAAATGCCGTGTTCTGTAGGTGTTTGAAGACCATCTATCTAAATATTTCTGTTTAACCATGAAAACACAAAGTTTTAGTATTGTAGATGACTAATCACTAACCTGCATTTTAAATTATACATTACATTTTAAATGAGTTGCATAAGCACAATGCCCCACACAAGAGTAGAAACACACATGGAATATAACAAAAATTACTTTACATTTGTATCAGTAAACCAAAATCCATATCAATTAACATATTTTGAGATTAACAGTTGTTGGGTTTTTTTTGGATTAAAGTTGATTCAATAATCTACCCTTTTTAAGACTTGCTAATTATAAATGATTGGCCGATAGCTTGGACTGGTTTTTTAGCTAGGTCTTGTAACTTAAATTAACCCATATTTCTTATCTGCCACATGGTGGTCCCTTTTTTTTAACATGGCAAGCTCAAGATAAGATAAATAATAGAATATTCTCTCTAGTTTTGCCAAATACAAATGGACTAGACATTGTAACTAATCCTTACCTGATAACTTTTTGTTGTGTACAGTTTTACTATGTTAAGGTTAAAACCTGCCTTTTTAAGTAGACAAAAGGGGGAAATGCTGTGGAACAGTCTCTGTTCACTGTAAATAAGTATCACTCTCATTGGTTAATAAGAGAATATGGATCACTCTCATTGGTTAATAAGAGAATATGGATCGCTCTCATTGGTTAATAAAAGAATATGTATTACTCTCGTTGGTTAATAGAAGAGCTGACTGGCCTATAGCTGGGCAGGAAGAGGTTAGGCAGGACTTGCAGACAAAAAGAGCACAGAGAATAAAAGGGGAGGAGTCTGTGAGTCAAGAGCCAGACACAGAAGCAGCAGCATGGGAAGTTCATAGATGAGGTGAATGAGCCTGGGAGCAGGACACAGGTGAATAGAGATGGGTTTGTGTAAGTCGTAAGAACTGACTGGAGGTGAGCCTAAGCTATTGACTGAGCATTTATAATAGTAAGTCTCTGCGGTTATTTGGGGAGTGTCTGGGGGACGGAAAGGTCCTCCTACACATGAGTTTGTCAGTCGGGTGCACGGCTTCATTAGCTGGCCTGGTGGGTCCATGCTGGTGACAGTGTGTATCGGGCTTCTCAAACATCCCCGAGCAGCAAGCTCTTTATGGGAGACGAATGTTCAGTCGATTTCCTCTGCATCTGTATCGCTTATGTGCTTGCTTTGTCGGTCTGTTACTCAAAACCGTCAGCTTCTAGTAAAAGTGTCTCAGCTCCGTAGCTTTTAAACTGTGCCATTCTTATGGCACAGTGGGAAGTAGTTTTTCGTGTCAACATATGTACGTGCCAGGCCAGGGAGGATGGGAAACCATGTGAACGAGGGGAGCAGGGGTGTGTTAGAACACAGGGCGCGTGGCACCATTCCCAGAGAAGAAAACCCTAATGAAGCACTCACTTGTCTTTAGATGAGAAGGAGGAAGGCATTCTGGGAAGCATCCTGCTGCCTAGTTTCCAGATAGCCATGCTCACCTCTGAGGACCACATCAACCGCAAGTACGCTTTTAAGGTAAGAAAAGCAGCTTGCCGTCTGATCCTGTGAAACTCTGAAAAGCAGATACTCCGGCTGGAAAGATGGCTCCACCATTAAAGGCTAGGCTCACAACAGCAACAAAAAATAAAAATGAAAACAGATATAAACCATTGTAAAGAAGGGTCTTTCTGGTAGTAACATTTACTTTTAAAGTGTGTTGGTGCTGCTGCCCTTAGAACCCGGATTTAATTTCCAGTGCCCATGGGATAGCTCACAGCTCTCTGTAACTCCAGTCCCAAGGGACCCAGCACCCACTTCTAGCATAGTGAAATGCTTATGCACATAAACTAAAAATAAAGCGCAGAGCAAGCACAGAGCAGGACCATGGCTAGATATCTTAGTGATGACCGTTCTCTAGCCACCGCTTGAATTGTGTCGGATGGGCTATATGGGAAGAGGGCCGCAGAAGATGGCTCTTCAGCGTGATGTGTTTACAGATGTGTACGTTAGTCTCCAGCATTCCCAAGTGCATAGTGACGTGTTTACAGATGTGTACGTTAGTCTCCAGCATTCCCAAGTGCATAGTGCTCTCTCCTATCTCTAAATGCAAGCCACCTGGGCCCTGCTGAGACCATCATTCACCACACATCTCGTGCTTTTGCTGCTCCAATGCTGGCTTGGTGGCAGTTTTCTATTTTAAAACAGACATGCTGGGGAAGAAAAACAGGTGCTGCATTCTTTGCTTTAGGGTTTTGTTTAAAATAAATGTTAGAAGTGACCTGGCTTGGGTTTAGGGGTTTTTTTGTTTTGTTTTGTTTTTTTGCTTTTTCCCTCCTGGTTATATATATCTTTAATAATCATGACTGATTTTAATGTGGGAATTTTATTTTAAGAGTAAAAGTACAGGGGCTGGAGAGATGGCTCAGAGGTTGAGAGCACTGGCTGCTCTTCCAGAGACCCGGGTTCAATTCCCAGCAACCACATGGTGGCTCTCAATCATCTATAATGAGATCTGGTAGCCTCTTCTGGTGTGCAGGCTTACATGGAGGAAGAATGCTATACACATAATAAATAAAGCTTTAAAACAAAAGCATATGGAATGTGCATAAGGTCTGGTGCCCTCTTCTGGCCTGCCGGCAGAACACTAATCAGTCTTAAAAAAAAAAAGAGTAAAGGTACAAATGAGGACAAAATACACTATGTAACAATGGAAATGTGTGTGCCTTTACAAAATACATGTAACATTAAACACTCATTTTAAAGAATACTCAGGACTGCACTGGTGTATAACTTTTACTAATTAATATATCGCATTATCATTATTAACTTTGAAGCTAAATGAGGAGAAGGCTTAAGCAGGGTGAGAAGGTGACATTAGAGCAAAGCCTGAGTGTGAGGGAGTAGCTTCAAGTATGAGCAGCAGAGCACAACAGGCTTATAGCAGGGGAGCCTGCAGGAGCCTGGAGGAGCCTCAGTGGCAGAGAGTCTCCCAGCATCACAGAAAAGCATTAACTTCACATAACAACTTTGTGAAGAACGTGTCTAGAGCTGTGGTGCTCACACTTACTTGGGCATAAGCTTAAACTTTCATCTGCTAGTAAACTTAACAAATATTTATTGAAATTGTTCTCTTTGGGGGACATTTTATCTATGCTGTTAGATTCTTTAAAAAAATACTGCAGTATGAAAAGAAAACGTAGGCTAGAGAGATATCTCAGCCTTGAAATTCTAGCCTTAAAACCAAAAAAAAAAAAAAAAAAAAAGCATTCCTCGGGGACTAGAGAGATGACTCAGCAGTTAAGAGCACAGAGGACATGGGTTCAGTTCCCAGCACCCTCCTGGCAGATCACAAGGCCTGTAGCTTCAGTTCAGGGGATCCAGTGCCCTCTTCTGGCCACTGAGGATCCTGCATGATTGTAACGCACAGATGTACACACAGACAAAACACCAACACATTAAAAAATTAAAAGATAGTACTGATAAAATAGTAGTAAAAAAAGGTAATAAAAGTTAAGGAAACCATATTTAAAAATCTGCAATGTTAAAATAGCACAAAAGTGGCCACAGGGGTCTGGTATGGTTTATAACTATTAGTTTGATTTTGGTTTTCTTTGCCTATAACAATAGTAATTCCTCTTTTTAACTTCTCTTTTTGTGGTGTTTCTCCTAAATTTTGAGCTACTGTATGGCTGCGTTGGTTGATGTTGAGTCTACTCTTACCTGCATGGTAAGTAGGAATTTCCCAGCGTGTGAATTAAATGGGGAGGCTGTGTGATTGGTTTTGCTGCTGTTGTCTGGAGGGGGGGGGCAGGATCTTCCTACCCTCGGCCTGGTTCCTTCCACTGACCACAGATGTGGGCTGTGTTCTTCGTCCATTTTACCCAAACTCACTCCCCAGAGTCCAGTGACTGCTAATCATTGTGACCCTGGAGCACACAGTTGGCTCTGACCTCACCATGGCGATGGTTGAGTGGTCGTGGCATTGCAGTGGTCCCTGCTTGTGGATGTGTGTGCTGACTGTACTCTGTCGATGTTAAGCCGCTCTGGCCTTGCAGGGAAAGCTGCTAATAAGATGCTGATGAGAAGTGTGATTCTGGACGCAGAGCTCTAGTTCAGAAAGCAGCAAGCAGCCGGCTCCTCCCTCCCTCAGACGGCAGCGGCCTGTGTTCATTTGGCCGAGTCGAATGGGAAATGACCACGGGGTTTTAAGAGGAATCTGAGACTGTTTCCTGTCTCTGGCCTCAGCGTCCTTCCAAGCTTGTCTTCTGTGTCTATGCAGTGCAGTCTCACCAGGGTCTTTATTGCTTTCCTCCTGATGTTCTAATAAAAAGAGCACCATAGAAGAAAACCCCACCGGTCATTTACAACCCCTCAGGCTGCAGGTGTTTGCATTTCAACTTGGAAACCTGCAAGGAAAAAGCTAGAAGGAATTGCTGTTGGAATCGTTTGTGCATAAGCGTCCATACGCCAGCTCTAAAAGATGTAAACAACATCGCTTCTAAAGACTAAAGGCATTGCTAGCAAGCATCAAGAATGCTCACATGCCTTTTCCATTTTGTTGCCGCTCTCTAAAGCGTACCCACCTTTGTGTTTTTTTTTTGTTTGTTTGAAACTGGGTCTCCACTCTGGATTATGCTGTCCTAGAACTCACCATGTATTCTGGGCTGGCCTCAGAGTCATGCCTCAGCCTCCCAAATGCCATGCCTGGCTAGAAATAGTATCCTTGAATGGGAAGATATTGGCTGCACCCAATTAAAATGGTGAGAGTTGAGTGAGTGGACCAGACTGCACAGGGGTATTTTGAACATGCTTCCTAGAGCACATGTTTTTTTTTGTAGCTTTGGAGTATATGCAATTGAAGAAACACTAAAAGGGTAATTAATGTTGTGACTGCTGGGGTCAGGATGTATATTCTTTCTTAAGTCGTGTCTGTGTCTTACGTAAAAGACAAGTGTACTTTCTCTGACATTTCACGATAATGATAGCTAAGGAGCCGCGTTTTCCCTTTTCTTTTTCAGAATTGCATGTCATGCTGAAGTGGTGGTGTCGTTTTCACTCAGGCAGCCCATCCAAACATGCGGACCTATTACTTCTGCACCGATACAGGGAAGGAGATGGAGCTGTGGATGAAGGCCATGCTAGATGCTGCCCTGGTGCAGACAGAGCCTGTGAAAAGGTACGGCTGGCTGCAGGGAAGCCACCGTGACTCCCGTCCTGGCTTTGCTCCTGCCTCGCAGGTGCATGCTCGCCGTGCATGTCTCTCTCGGCCAGGCCTCGTCTGCGGCCTGCAGTGCCTTTGTCGGGGACACACGCCCCACCTGTGCCTTTATTCCCTTTCTTCTTGCCCCATTTCCACCTGTCAGTGTCACGGGGCCTCTCTAGAACCTAACATTCAAACTCAGTGTTCTTTCTTCTTACAGAATTACCTTTAATTTCCGGTGAGTACGTCTTTCTATTACCTTAAACCTATGCAGATTTGTGTGCTTCGTGGGAGAATTTTTTTTAAGAGCCTAAATAATAGAATGTAACTTCATTGTTTTTTAGTATTTGGGAAGTAAATAAATAACCATAAGAAATTCTGATGAGTTTTATTTTGTTATTGTTTTCTGGCTAATTCCAGTTATTTTATAATTAATTAATAACTCCAGAAAATAGTTCATAGAGCATTTAAATTATTTCTAAGTATATGTACTGCCTGATGAGTTGTCCCTTTCCTTTAAAACTGTGGTGCTCCGATTTCTTGCTAAAGTTGATCCTAGAGTTGTTTATTTTCTTCCCTGCTTGAAGACAACAGGTCATATTAACATTCCTCATTATACTGAAAATCATCTAGCAGACATGGCAGCACGCACGTTTCTTGCACATGTATGTGTGCATGCATGCGCTACAGTGTTCATGTGGAGGCAGGGGCAGCTTCGGAAGTCAGTGCTCTTCCTTTCACTGCATGGGTCCCAGTGGTCATACTCTGCACCTCTGCCCACTGAACTGTCTCTGGCCCGTGGCACACGCTTACAATCTAGGCATTCCTAGGCAGAAAAGTCTCAAACCCAAAGCCAGCCTGGGCTGCATCACAAAAACCTGCCTCAAAAAGAAGCAGACTAAGTCAAGGAAAATATGTTTCTCAACTGCAAAAACAGAGGTTGAATGAATGTGCCTTGTTTTTATCCTGGAGACAAGATTTCTCTGTGTAGCCCTAGCTGTTCTGGAACTTGATCTGTAGACCAGACTGGCCTTGAACTCACAGATCCACCTGCCTCTGCCTGCCAGTTGCTGAGGACTACACTTTTTACAAATTCCTGTAACTCGAAGGTTTGTAATGTAATTAAATTTAGTTTCTGGCCAATGATAATTAAGTTCACATCTATATTTAAAAAAACCACTACTGTACACATTCAAAGGTGTGTGTGTCTGTGTGTGTCTGTGTGTGTGTGTGTGTGAGAGAGTGTCCCAGTTAGAGATCAAGTCATAACATCATGCATAGTATTTCATTGTATATTTGATGGCCTTTTGGCATGTTGTCTGAAAGTCTGAGTTGAGGCTTTATACAATTGTTTGTACTTTTTTTGTGTGGCAGGATCTCTCTGTAGCCCTAGAAATTCTAGAATTCTTTGTGCAAACCAAGCTGGCTTCAAACTCACAAAGATTCACCCGCCTCCACCTCCCAAGTCCTGGCATAAGGCTTGTGCTACCAAGCCCAGCTTTTTTCTTTTTTCTTTTTCTTTTTCTTTTTTTTTTTTTTTTCTTTTTTTGCTCATCCAGGCACCCAAGCATGGAAGTAAACAGGTTTCAGGTTTGCTGCTGGTGACTGTGCTAAAGGTCAGGCCTTGTGTGTGCTCGGCAAGGGCTGTGCTGCTGCAGGCCACAGAGTTACACAGTGCGAGCTCAGCACACACTTCCGGGTCAGTCCAGCAGGTGACGGGAACTATTGTCATCAGAGATGCATAGCTCAACCTTTGCTGCAATACCAGAGGGAATACTGCCTTCCGGGATGTGCCTGCTGTCTCCATTGCAAACTTCTTGTGTGAAGAGCTCTTCCCGTCATTCATCCCCCAGCACTATAGTGTGTTCATTGTTTACTGGGCACATATAACATGTGTGATCTGGAAGATGACTCTTCACTTAGTTACACAGTTTTGACATGTAGAATATATACTGGGACATGCTTCATAACTGCATCTGTTTGTCCCACAAGGACTGTGGACTCTTAACAGCCCGCCTTGTTCTCTTGCTCAGACTACTACACACAATCGGCTCACTTTCATCTCAGAGCAAGTTCAAACTAGACTAAAGGCTTTTGTGAAAAAAAAAAACTTTACAGCTTGCACAAGGTCAGAGTCACAGGTGTCTACCAAGGTTACTAAAAGAAGCATGCTAATTGTTCACTTGCCAGACTAAACAACAGATCTGTGTCTTAAGTTATCAACGGGCATTGTGCCCTTCTGTGGCCTTGGATCCTTGTGCTGTCATGGTAAACGACTCAGCCCATTATTACTTCCTCTAGGAATGTGCTTTTGACCAATGAGAGAAATTTCTTCACCACTTCAAGGTCCTGAAGGAGACCTTCTGTTTCTAGAACAGAAGAAGAAACATGGAGAAGTTAGCAGTGGGACAGGATTATTAGAGTGGAAACAGAGCAGTAAAGAGCACAGGAAATAAGGAGCACGACCCTCAGATTGTGTGTGAAGTTACCATAGAAATGTTGGCCCCTCCTTCCCTCCTGAGCAGCGTTTCACCTCTAGGACCCTGGGTAAGGGGGAGCAGGTCTCACAGCCCTTACACTGTGTCGTAGCCATAGCCCTAGTCCTCGGGATATCTGACCCCAGCGCTTGGATGGTGGAGGCAAGGTAGTCAAGGGTTAAGGCCAGGATTAGTGAGTGAGTGTTCAGAGTGGGTTAAAATGCTTCTGTCAAAAGCCTGATGCCCTGAGTTCAGTCTTCAGAGCCCATGGGGACAGGAAATGACTCTACAATGTTGTCCTCTGACCTCTATATGCACACCGTGGCATGTTTGTCCCACACATACATATGCACAAACACACACACATCAGACCCCCTGGAACTAGAATTACACAGACTGTTGTGAGCTTCCATGTGAGTGCTGGGAATTGAACTTGAGACCTTTGCAAGAGTCACAAGTGTTTTTGACCACTGAACCTCCTCTTTCCAGCACCCCTTGGTGCTTTTACTGTGTGTGTGTGTGTGTGTGTGTGTGTGTGTGTGTGTGTGAAGCACTCCATCTCTTTCACTAAACTATACCTAAAACCTTATATTTTTATTGTCAGTTGACATACAGTAAATACACATATTACTATAGTATAGTAATTATACATGGGACATTTCACGTGTGTACACTGTGCAGTGGTCAGATTGGGGTAATTAGCATAGTGTCATCTCAGACTTTGGTTTCTTTTTGCTGGGGCATTAAAAATCTGTACTAGTTATTTTGAAAATTCATTATCAGCCATAGTTGCCTTACAGTGCTATTAAGGTACAGCAATGTCTCCTATTCAGCTGTGCCAATTATCTCTCTCTCTGCCCACTCCTCCCTGCCCCTCCCTTGTAACCACTGGCATCCCTCCGGCAACCACTTTTCTGTGTTTTGGGGGTCAATATTTCTAGGTTCTATGTGTAAATGAGAGGATATGATATTCATCTTTCTGGATCAGGTTTATTTCACTGGCATAATGATCTCTGAGATATTCATATGGCTGCGTGGGTGCGTGTGTGTGTGTATGTGTATGTGTGTGTGTGTGTGTTACAGATACTTTATCCATCCATTGATGTATACATTGTACATCATTATATTGGCTTTTGTGAAGGTGGTTGTGCTACAATAAGCGTAGACGCTCAGGAATCTCCTCAGCATGCTGACTGAATGGTTAGGTTCCCGGGAGTGGAGTGCTGGGTCACAGTGCGTTTCTCGTCTTTCCTTCCTTCCCTCCTTTCCCTTTTTTTGTTTTTGTTTTTGTTTTTGTTTTGTTTTGTTTTACTTTTATTTTCTTGAGTCAGAATCTCATATAACCAATGCTGGTTTCAAACTCAGTATAGAGAAGGACAACAACGACCTTGAACCCCTGACCCTCCTGACTGCAGTGGGGTTAAGGTGTGTTGTAGCATGAGTAATAAAAACCCAGAGACAGATACTGAGGTTCAAGCTAAAGATCAGAGAAGCAAAGCAGCCAGCCAGTAGCTCTTACCTCTACCAAGGCTGAAATGGAGATCCTGTCTTCCCTGTGACTGGAAACTGAGTCTCACTTGAGACCTTTTGCTTATCCTTATATACATCTCTAGTGCTGGGATTAAAGGTATGAGCTCTGTTTCTCTTTTAGACTGATTCACTCTCATGTAGCCCAGCCCTTAACTCACAGAGATCCATCTGCCTGTCTCCTGAGTCCTGGGATTAAGGGTGTGGCCACCACTGCCCAGCTTCTATAGCTAACTAGTGAGGCTGGTTTTGCATTCTGATCCCCAGGCAAGCTTTATTAAACCATAAACAATATATCGCCACAATGTAGTCCCATACCTGTCTTCGGGTAGCTGCTGTGTTTCTTGGTTTGGAAGAACCCCTACTGTTTGTCTTAATGGCCAGAGTAATTTCCAGTACCTTCCAGTCTGGTTCAAGTGTCACTTTCTTAAGTCAGGCACATTTCTCGTGGTTTATGTTCTCATGGTTTTCTGAGTCATTGCAGCTGGGTGGTGGTAGTGCACACCTTTAATCCCAGCACTCGGGAGGGAGAGACAGGGGATCTCTGTGAGTTCAAGGCCAACATGGTCTACAGAGCAAGTTCCAGGACACCCAGGGCTACACAAAGAAACCCTGTCTTGAAAAACCAAAGGGGGGGAGAAGAAGAAAAAAGTTGTTGCATGCTTATGCTTCTTCAATGATAAACCTTTGGGGGGGGGATTACAGATTTAGTCTAAAACAGTAGCTGCAGTTGTCTGGACTTAGTTTTATACTCTTTAAGACCCTCAGCACTCAGTGTTAAACAACCTCTCCCTGCAGACATCCGTGGATGTCTGCTGTCAGTTTCTTAGTGCTTTCCTCTATAACGGGAAGAAGCCACAACCCGTCTTTGTAAACTGCCCTGTGTCTGCTGTTACACTGATTTGGAAACAGTGGTTCATGTGTGACTTGTGTCTGTGCAGTGTGTGATTTCACTCTTGGTGGAGCCCCATGCCAGAGTGTCTGAAGCATCTGCATTTCTTTACTGTGACTTGGATGTAGCCGCGTACGTGTGAATGTTTGTTATGTTTTCCACACATCACAGAACTTAGCAACACTACCACCCTTGGGATCTCACAGTAGCACCGCAGTGTGCTGTCGCAGGAGGCACGCCAGTTCTGGGAGTGCCTGCTGAAGGAGGTGAGCTCGACAGCTTCCTGCAGGTTCAGACCCTTAGCTCGGGTTTATCAAAGTCTGCGTATGATTGGCTCAGGAAGACAACTTCTTACCGGAAGGAGCTGTAGCAACTGAATGGGAAACTCGGGTGGCCCAGACACACGGGTGACAAACATTTCTTCTCTTGGACACACGCACCCCACAGAGCTGCTTGACTAGCTCGAAAAGCAGAGGCAGTAAAGGCCATGCTGGCTATTGTTTGGGTCTCATAACAGTCCTCCAGCGTCGCTCAGGTTCTCTGTTTACCAAAGAGAAAACAGGCAGGGTAAGCTTCCTTACCTTGCCCAAAGAAGCAGCTAGTAAGAAGTAAAGACACCCACTGAAGCCGGGCATGCTGGTACACACCTCTAATCCCAGGCAGAAGCAGACAGATCTCTGTGCATTCCACCTAGCCAGGCCTACGTCGTGAACTCTGTCTTGGGGGAAGAAACAAAAAGATGCCACTGAAGCATCTTGGCTCTGATAGCTCCTACGCCTTGCTGTCTGGTACGGTGTTTCATACCTGTAATGTTAGCAGCCATAGCACTTGAGACATCTATTTTAGGTTTGAGGCCACCATGGACTACCCAGTGACATCTCTCCAAAGTAGAGCCACACACAGGTACTCTTGTATACAGTTCAGCTTTTGGTTTGACCATTAATGGTGAGAAATCGTCACATTTTGGCAGGCAGAGGCACATGACGCTTGTTTTGGTAGGCTTTGCGTTCTGGAGTTACACCTGCATGATAACACCAGATCTCTGAGGTTGTGTGTGTGCCAGCTTGTGCTCCCTGACCCTGTTTGTTTGCTTGTTCTCATGAAGGTTAGTTTTCCTAGGTTGTGTGTAAGGGGTGTAATGTGCACCTGTTCCGTCGGTTTACTCTGTTTTCTCCTCTGCTTTCAGAGTGGACAAGATCACAGCTGAAAGTGCATCAACTAAAGAAACCAATAACATTCCCAACCACAGAGTTCTCATTAAACCAGAGCTCCAGAACAACCAGAAAAATAAGGAAATCAGCAAAATGGAGGAAAAAAGGGCCTTAGAAGCTGAGAAATACGGCTTTCAGAAGGGTGGCCAGGAGAAACCGCTAACAAAAATTAACAGTGTAAAGTTGAACTCTGTGCCGTCAGAATATGAAAGTGGGCCAAGCTGCCCACCTCCGAATGTGCTCTACAGACCCATCAATGTGAATAGTTCAGATGGCAAGACAGGGAACGTCAGCTTGGCAGATGTCCGGGGTGGAAGTCACCCACATGCAGGGCCCCTCGCCACGGAGGCCGATCGCGTCATCCAGAGAACGAATTCAATGCAGCAGTTGGAGCAGTGGATTAAAGTCCAGAAGGGACGGGGTCTCGAAGAAGAGCCCAGAGGGTAAGTACCTTAGCATGACAGCCCAGTCTCTGATGCTGTGGTGGGGCAGGTTGGCTTCCGTTTCTGTACTGGTGTGAGGTATGTTTTCAATTTCCCACTTGCGTTACTGTGTCTTGCTCACAATGCTCAGATTTTCTGTCTCATGTTTCTATGGACAGCCTTGCTTTGGGGAAGAGCCAGCCTTCCTGGCCCAGGACAAAGGACAGGCTGAAGTTGAGGGGAGAGATAAATTTTAAAGAAGGTATCTGGCCACCTTTACTCCTATTTCTCCTCTCCTCATAGAGTCATGAACTGTGGTGAATCAGTGGGCATTTGTCTCCCGCCCTAATCTGTCTTCCGTTAGCAGCTTCTACAGCCTCTCCGACTGAAAGATCTTAAACAAGAAACCTGGGACCAAAGTGTGGTAGCATACACCTGTAACCCGGTATTTAGGAATAGAGGCAGGGGAATCAGGAGTTCAAGGCCAGCCAGAGCTACACAGTTGAAACCTTGTCTCAAAACAAAACCAAGAAATCGCTGTGGGACCAAGGTTGTAGGTCAGTGTGTCTCATGTTCCGTACAAAAGGGGAAGGGAAGAAATATCTATAATCATTCTCCAAACCAAAGTTCACATGTGCAGTGAGAGGAGAGACATGTGGCCCTGTCCCCGTGAGCCTGCGTCTCTAGAGAGCAGTCTAAACTTGAGCATGCTTCAGATAGCGCCTGTGTGTGTAAAGGTTACAGGTGTGACCGTGGAGAAAAGGAAGGTTCTCAGGCACTCTGCAAGTGCCAGGTGTGCCGGTGCAGGTGGGCCGGTGCAGGCCTCTATTCTTAGCTCCCAGGTGGCTGAGTCTGAAGACAAGTTCAGGGCCAGCTGCATAGTAAGATCCTGTCTTAATTTTAATAAAAAGAGAGAGGCCCTAAGAGAACACACATTTGAGAAATAAGAAATGGCAGGACTTGCAAAGATACATTTCAAAAAAAAGGTTGTGTTTTTGTTTTTTGAGACAGCCTCACTAATTAATAATCCAGGCTGGCTGGCCTGGACATGGTATGTAAACTCAAATCTGCCTCCGCCTCACAGGTGCTAGAATTAAAGTATACCACCACATCCAGGATACACAAAATATATTATGTATATGAATGTTTAGCTTGCATGTATGTATGTACATTGTGTGCATGCCTGGTGCCTGCAGAGCTGTGTGCATGCCTGGTGCCTGTGGAGCTGTGTATGCATGCCTCGTGACTGCAGAGCTGTGTGCATGCCTCGAGCCTGTGGTGACTCTGTGACCCCCTATAAGCAATCATTTAGGTGCTGGGAACTGATGCTAGGTCCTCTGCAAGAGCACCCAATGCTCCTAAGCAGTGAATCATCTCCCCAGACCTCAAAACACGAAGTCAAGCCAGGTGTGGTGCTGACCCATGAAATCTCTGCACTCTGGAGGCCGGGGCAGGAAAATGGCTTTGAGTGCAAGACCAGTCTAGTTATTACATAGTCAAGTAGGTGAGCCATAGCTACATAGTTGGACCCCATCTGAAAACACTAAAACATGAAGTAAAATTTTTGAAGTAAATTTTAGGGCTACAGACATAGTCCAATGGTAGAGCACTTGCCTGGTATGCACAAGACAGTGGATTTGATTCCTAACCCTTGAAAGTCAACAAATTTTACATTTTGAAAAATATTTTGTATTCATGTTCTTTAAAATCACTAATTTTTTTTATTTTTCAGTTTTTGAGACAGGGTCGCTCTATGTAACTTTCTTTGGGTATCCTGGAACTCACTTTGTAGAGTAGGCTGACCTCAAACTCACAGAGATCTGTCTGCCTCCCAAGTGCTGGGACTAAAGGTGTGCACCACCACAGCCAGGCTTTAACTTTTTTCTTAAAACACAAGTTCTTAGAGAAAGTATGTTTTATTTTAAGTGGATTTTCCAGGTTCCCTTACATGCTTCATATTGATAAGTTAACCTGTATTGTAAGTGTGTAGTTATTTTCATGCAGATTTCTATAATATACTTGTTAGTGTAGCTTCTCAGTCATAGAAAGTAAAGCATGACTTGAATGACATTTTGGTTTACTGCTGACTTGTGAGGTGTGGGAATGCTCTCCAGGTCTGCTCGGTTACAGTGGCTGGCCTGCACTGTCATCAGAGGCTGTCTTCAGGAGTGTGACTCTCCCAAGGCAGTAAACATACACACACACCCTGGGAGGTATTGCCAGACCCTGTCTTCCTTGTCCTCAGTGCTCATTCTTTAGGCTTTCACAAGAGAGTGTAGTGAATAATACTGACTTCAGATCTCCAAGGTGTAGAGTCTACTGCACGACACAGTGATTGAGTTTAACAATGAATTGTATACTTGAAAACTGGTAATGCAGATTGGCTTGTTCATTTTTGAAACAGGGTGTTACTGTGTACCTATGGCTGGCCTGGCTAGGACTTTACAAATACCCCCTGCTTCTGCCTCTCCATTGTCAAGATTTGCAGCTTTGTACCTGCCCTGCAAGACCGGATCAGAATTGCAAGTTACATGCAGAAATATACACTCTCAGTTTGAGCATTTCCATGGCGTATGCTTGTTTTATGTATATTTGTACACTGATTATTGCCAATTTTTTTTCAAAAAAGTATGACTTAAATGTTCAAATTTACCAGTTATCAGGGAATTACACATTAAAGAAAGAGGGAGATAATACTTTTCATGTCCATATTGGCCACAGTCATATGTAAGCAAATTCCTTAATGCATGAATGAGAAAATAGAATTTGATGACTATTGGATGAAATTACAAAGACCAGTCAAGTCATACATTGTCAGTAGGAAAACAAGTAAGATTTGATTAGAGAGAGAAACAGGACGTGGTTTGGAGGGTGAAAGTGTCCAGGGTACTACAGACCACACTCAGGAAATAAGAATAAATAATATTAATAATGTCAACTGGAGGTTTGCCAGGTCGCTTCTTCCCAACTTAAATCTTACTTCAAAGGAAAATCTCTGCCCCAAATAAAGCATTTCTTGCTTTAGCTCAAAAGTGTGAAGAGGGCAGCGGGTACCTGGAATGTATGTTCTCATCTGTGGTGTATGAGTGAGTGTTTGCGGCCCCTGGCAGGGGTTCCTAGCCTTTTCCTCTGAATGCTGCCCCTCTGAAGGCTGACAAGGGCTTTCTTTGCATTCTCCTCTTTAAGTTCCCAGTGCTTATAGCGTCGCATTCTTCTCAAATGGCTCAAGGCCACTCTGAATCTTTGAAAAACATCATCTATGTCCCTAAATAAACCTTGTCCCTAAGAAACACTTGCGAACTTTTATTGGTGAAAGGAAACATCATAAGGAAATAACTGTGGCTTGTTTTTTTTCTTCTTTATGAAAGGCTTTCTTTAATTATTACTAAGACCCTGGTAGAAAGCAGGGGAAGCTTAATATTTAGTGGGATGGTGGGTCCCATCCCTGTGTGCCTCCCCACTGCCACCACCCACCCCCATCTCCCCACCCCCACCCCCGCCCCCGCCCCGAGCTGCTGAATGGGCTCACAGTGCTGGCTCCCTAAGCTGGCCATTGTCCCCCAGACGGGTCACGGTGCCTGCTCCTTAAGCTCTTACTTCAGAGTAAATCACACTCTGCTTCATTTGAATTCCTTTGGAACAAAATCACTGGAGTAAATTGTACTTCTGAATATCAGGTTTCCTAATGCTAGACAGTGTATGTGACAAAAATGAATTTATTTGTTAGTGCTGTGTTCTCAGAGTCGTTATCACCCCACCCCCCAAGTTTCAAAGATGGCAGAGCATTTTAAGCTCTGGCCGTTAGCAGGGTGATGGGAAGCTGTGCAGTCGGCAGCACAGGAGGACTGGGCAGACAGTAAACAGAGCAGCTCACGTGACAGTGACTGCAAAGCACTGTTGTTACTCCACAACTGCAGTCTGTGCTCTCCATGCACAGGTCCTTTTTGGAATGTTCTAGTAGATGTGCTTGCATGTTGGCCTGCTGTGTTAAGCTGCAGTTAATGTTTCTGTGGTGATTCTTAAATGTATTACTCTTCAGTTTCTGAAGCAAGGTGTGGGGGGTGAGCTGCTTCAGGTTAGTCTCTCAGCTGGAACCGACCTGAGGTAGACTGCGGAGTCTTGGGAGTCAGCACTTCCTGAATACAGGACTGTGGGACTTCCTGCTTTTCTCCCCTAATTCCTGCCTTTTGTGTTGTCAGAGAGGAGTTGGGAGGGAGGCCAAGCTGTGGGGGGAAGGGGCCAGGTACACCACATACATAGTTGAACTCTGTTCTGGTTACAGACTTTGTCTGCTCCCAAAGCTGCCTGGTGATTGATTGTGTTAAGGGCAGGGGCGGGGGGGGGGGGGGGGAGCATTTTCTTCAGTTTTGCAGCTTTTGAGAGGAGACATTGAAAATATGGATGGGGAAGCAGAGTGATGGAGGAAGTGTTATTCAGGAGAGGTGACTGAGGGAATCAGAAGTGTTTGAACCCTAGAGCTCTAGACAGCTTCGTGGTCAAATCTCTTTTAGGCAAGAAAGCAGAGTCGCTACAGGACTCTTGTTAGGAACAAAACGGGCGGGCTGGGACCGCAGGTGACAGGTCCCGGGCCCAGTGATGACCGGGGTCCCAGGGTGGGTAATGTGGGGAAACAGAGACCTGTAGACGTGACTCGTATTGAAAGTTTTCTTGAGGGGGAGGTAAGAAAAGAGGTAAAGAGACAGACAGGACAGAAGAGGAGGGGGTCTTTCTTCTAAAGGGCTAGGGTACTTACCCCGGCCATGCGGCCACTGCCTAAGCTTTCTGCCTTCTCTTTTTAGTCTTATTCTTAATTTCCATTTGCGGGTGTATCGGGATTGTGGGTGCTGGGGCGGGGGATGCCAAAGAGGCCAGAAGACCAGGCAGTCGTTAGTCACCCAATATGGTACTACAATAGCAGCAAAAACTCACCTGGTGAGCTCTCTCCAGCCCCGGTGTCTTTAGTTTCAGTTAATTCATTATGACACATGAATAGTTTGAATATTTTTCATGCATGGCATACATGCCTTTAGCAAATATAAATGTCTGGAAATTGCCAGTATAATGAGTACTAGAAGTAGGATGTCCACGTATTCATTCACAAACACTTTCTGTAATGCCAGACATTAAAAGAATCTGGATATGGAAACCTGACTGACCTGGAACTTACTGTGCAGACCACACTGGCCTTGAGCTCACAGATCCAACTCCCTCTGTTCCCAAGCCCTGGACTCCAGTGTGCGCCTTCTCTCCCAGGTGTCCCTGCTCTGCCCTCCCTCTCACTGAATAACAGTCACATGATTGTATACACCAATAGTAACTACTATGTAGTAGTCACCCAGTCTATTACAGTGGGTCACAGTGAAATCTATTTTGGGAACTGTTTTGTTTTTGTTGTTGAGACAAGATCTCATTGCAACCCAAGCTTTCTTAGACCTGTCACATTCCTCCAGATTTCAGAGATATGCCACCACACGTAGTATTGCATTGCTGTCAGTAACAGACCTGTGTCAGAGATCTCTGCAAAAGCCAGAGAGATGGCTCAGCAGTTGAAAGCCCTTGCTGATTTTCCAAAAGACCTGGGTTCAGTTCCCAGCCCCCATATTGGGTGGATCCCAACTGCCTGTAACTCCTAGGGGTCTGACACTCTTCTGGCTTTCATGTGCGCAGCACACACCACACTTGGCGTTCTCTCTCTCTCTCTCTCTCTCTCTCTCTCTCTCTCTCTCTCTCTCTCTCTCTCTCTCTCTCTCTCTTTCTCTCTCTCACACACACACACACACAATAAATTTTTGAAATACACCTTTGGCTTCCAGTTTATCAGGCAAGGATTCAGATCATTAAAAGGAAAGTAAGGGCTGGAGGTTTAGCACATGGTTAAGAGCACTGACTGCTCTCCCAAAGGACCTGGTTCAGTTCCCAGGCCCACTGGGTGGCTCTCAGCCATCTGTGACTGCAGTTCCAGTGGAGCCTGTGCCTTCTGCTGCCCTTCCCGTCACCACACACAGCATCGATGCACACATACGTGCACAAGCACACTCAGACGTATGAAATGAAGTAACTGTAAACACACGAGATGTTCTTAGGAGTATAGTACAGTAGCGTGTACCTGAGTCTTCACCAGTTACTTAGTCACCAGCGTCTCCAAACATTTAGCAACCAGGAGAAGGCTGATAAAGTGGGAGCAGTTGTACACCCAGATTGTGCTCTGTGGGAAAGTGCAGCCCTGGGAAGGTGAGCAGGGACCATCCTCAGAACCCCCTCCCCATTCCTGTTTCATTGAATTACAGTAACTGTGTCTGAGGTGTAACATTTATGCACCTCACAAGGGTAGCATAAGATATTGAATAGTTGAAATTTAGTCTGTCTTATACTCTTTTTGTTGTTGTTGTTGTTTGGTTACTTTGGGTGTGGGTTTTGGGGGGCTTTTGTTGTTTTGTTTCTTGTTTGTTTTAAGGCAGGGTCTTACTATCTAACTAGTTGTACAGGCAAAGGGAAAGACTTGAGGCTCATTCTTGAATATTTCCTTTTTAAATTTTATTTATTTGTTTCTTGGGAGTTTGGTTTGGTTTTGTTTGGGGGGTGGTTTGCAGAACAGTTTGCTTTTTGTCTTGAGGTTTTTCGGTATTTTGTTTGTTTAAGACAGTCTCAGACCAGAACTTGTAGAAATCCACCTGTCTCTACCCATCAAACTGTGGGATTAAAGGCTTGAATTTTCTTATTATCAACTAAAGTGGGGTAAATGGTTCTTCTGCATCAAACCAAATGCATTTTGTGGAACTAAGTCACACATGATGCCACAGACTGTTCATGCCCTACATTACCAGATGGAATGTCATTTAAAAGCTCTGACTTTTTAATGAACTATACGTCCTATTACATTTTGGTGACTGGTCCTCCCTCTCTCCCTTTTCTTCCTTCTCTTTGTCATGTACGGAGTTTCAATCCCAGAGCTTTGCACATTTGGAACAAGTGCTCTGCCATTAAACTATGTCCTTTTGAAAAATAAAGCCTGATACCCACTTGCCAGGGCAACCAGAAATATCAGTGTTGTTTAAAACTGCAAAAACAGCTGTCTGTCTCCATTTTACCACATCTTTTTCATTTCTGCAACTTCTTTTTTAATTTTAGAGTAATTTCTTACCAAACGTTGCCAAGGAACATGCCAAGCCACCGAGCCCAGGTTGTGGCCCGCTACCCTGAAGGTTACCGAACACTCCCACGAAACAGCAAGAGCAGACCCGACAGTGTGTGCGGTGCGACCCCTTCTGGCCATGAGAAGACTGGCGCGGAAGAGAAGAGGCGGTCCATGAGGGATGACACCATGTGGCAGCTGTATGAGTGGCAGCAGCGCCAGTTTTACCACAAGCAGAGCACCCTTCCTCGGCACAGCTGCCTGAGCAGCCCGAAGGCCATGGTGAAGGTTTCTGAGCAGACGATGCACTCCATCCCCACGTCGCCTTCCCATGGGTCAGCCGCTGCTTATCCGGGGTTCTCCCCACAACGAACATACAGGTCAGAAGTGTCCTCACCCATCCAGAGAGGAGATGTCACAGTAGACCGCAGGCACCGGGCTCACCACCCTAAGGTAAAACACTAATGTGTTAACTCAGTACTTAAGAATGTTGTGTTGTCTTTGTAATGCATTGTTTTAAATTAAGTTAGAGGAAAGAGAATGGGAAGTTGACAAGGCTGTTTCTGTCTTAAAAATTAAAACTCTATCAAATACCATGTGTAGAACCTAAGCTGAACCCTTAACCCCAGGATCCCAAGAGTGATCCCTTTATTGGTTGTCAAGCCGTGTGTGTGTGTGTGTGTGTGTGTGTGTGTGTGTGTGTGTGTGTGTGTTTAGCCAAGTGCTACATTTGAAGCTTCTCTCCAGTGCTTTTGTTTTGAAACAGGATCCTTGTTGAGTTGCCCAGATGCTCCTGCCTCAGTTTTTTTAATAACTTGGATTTTGGGTTTGGACCATATTTTAACTGCTCTTCTCTTGCTATGATAAAACACAATAAGCAAGGCACCTTATTGAAGGCAGGGTTCGGACCTACAGTTCAATAAGAGTCCATCACTGCCCCAGTGAGGAGATGGCAGCAGGCTGGCATGGGAGCAGAAACAGCAGAGGAGTCCTGTCTTAGACTGCAAGCATGGGGAGGAAGCAGAGTGGGAATGGCTGGTGGCTTCTGAAACCTCAGAGCCCATCTCCAGGGACACACTTCTTCCAACAAGACCAGACCTCCTAAACCTATGCAATCAGGGCCACTCACTAGGAACCAAGCATTCAAATGCCTAAGACTATGGGGCACATTTCACCTAAGCCACCACAGGACACCACACCCAGCAAAAGGAGAACATGGAATAACATGTCACCATGGAGAATAGGTGGGGAAGAACTCACTGAGCCAGTCCTTTGCAGATGAACTCTTTTATTACCACATCATGCACAGTCAAGAGATGAAAGTGAGATAGACTAAGGGACATTAGCGTGTGCGTGCGTCGAGCGTTCACTGGTCCACATTTAGATACCATTTGCTCCTGAGCTTTAAGAACGCACCACTTTATTGAGCTTAGCTGCAGGTCAGAGCTTCAGGGTATCCACCGTCACCAACTGCAAATGCCACCGGTGGGTTTGGTAACATACTTAAACCAGAACACTTGTCATAACAGAGTGGTATGAAAGCAGGTATGAGAAACCAGCCAGACAGTAAAATTGCCAAAGCTGCCAAACTGTGCTGCTCCTGCCACTAAGTTTTTTCTGTAAACAGCATAAAGCAGGACCAGTGAGATGGTCGAGTAAGTAACAATGCTTGCTCTGGAAGCCTAGCAACCCGAGTTCAATCCCCAGCGCTCACATCAACGTGGGAGGACAGAGCCAGGGCCACAGAGTTGTCCTCTGACCCCCACGTATGCACCACCCACGCGTGATACACAAGAGTAATAACAGCAAATGTGAAATATGTAGCTGAAAGTCCAGGCATAGTGGCTCGTGCCCAGTGGGGTAGCAGTGCAAACTAGTAGATTAGGAGAGCAAGGTGAGACCAGCCTGAGCTGCATGAGGTCCTTTCTGGGGAAAACAGCAGCCACCATACACACGCGCGCACGCACACACACAGACACACACAGACACACACATGTGCATGCACAGATGCACACAGGTCCTGAGAACAAGGAATTTGAGTACCGCTGAGCCCCTCTTCCTAGAATTACTCTTTTCATTAGCATCTGTCAAGTAAGGAAGATTGGTATGTCTCTCATAAACACTAATGACAATTTTAATTGGTATTTTATAATGTAAATTTAAGATTACCCATCAATAACATTGAAAAAAGTTGCCTACCGAATTATATTTGTCTTTGTTTCCTAGCATGCCTATGTACCTGACAGGCGGTCAATGCCGGCTGGCTTGGCTTTACCGGCTGTTAGTCCTCAGAGCCTCCAAGGCAGAACGGTGAGTGTGATTAGCTTCCTTATCATATGCCTACTTTATTTGCTGCCCAGAAAGGCATGAAGCTGACATGGCTTTTAAGTGTGAATTTTCAGACATCACCTGCAGAAGAAAACAGCACTACTTTTGTGACAAATACCCACCAGCAGAAGAATGTAGACTCATAGCCATATTGATGCCTTTTTGGCTGCCTTTCCCTAAATGCCCAAATAAAGGAGAAAGTTTGCAGTTTACTGTTTAACTCTGGGTTTTTGATTTATTATCCCCTTTGTCTTCAAAGTTAAAGCCAGGCATGGTGGTACACAGAAGGATGCCTGTGAGTTAAGGCCAGCCATGACTACCTAGCATACAAGACTACATTGCTTCTTACAAACCCAAGTAGCTGAGTAGTGAGTGCTTGCATAAGATATGCAAGACCTGGATTCAAGTCCAGACACCCTTACACCAGTGGTTCTCAACCTGTGGGTCGCGACCCCAGGGGTCGCATATTGGATATCCTGTGTATCGGATATTTGTATTATGATTCCTAACCCAATTTTGCTCCCTCATAACAGTTGTGAAGTAGCATAATTTTATGGTTGGGGGTCACTACAACATGAGAAACTGTATTAAAGGGTGTTGGTATGAGGAAGGGTGAGGACCTCTCCCTCCACACACTCAGCACAGACTTTGGAGTGATAATTAGTGGGACAAGTCCAGCGAGCATCTGCCCGGCCACATCATAGACCTTCTGTAACCTTTTCCCTGTGACTTTTATCTGAGAGCAAGTCAATATATATTGAGAGGCAGCCTGGGACTCTTAGCTTCTCACTCAGCCTCCGCGGTGTTGGGATTTTGTGAACATACTGTCATACTTGGCTTTTCTGTGAGATTTAACATACATTAGCACCTGAGAGCCAAAAATACACTCAATTATGAATTTACACAAAGAAAGACTGTACAGTAGTCAGAGTTGTCCATGACGGCTCATGCCTTTAATACCAGCATTCTAGAGACTGAGACAAATTAAAGGCCAGCCTAGGATATAGGAGGGAAAAAACAAACATAAAACCACCGCCAGTGTATTTTCTATTATTTAAATTTAGTGTTTAATATCAGTTCCTCAAGTCAAAGAAATTAGGTGTTTGTTTTGGCTTGGTTGTTGTTGTTTTGTTCTTGCCTTTGTTTTTAGGTAAGTCTCCCTGCCCCAGCCCCTGGAGTTACCAACACTGCTGGAATGCCTTTCTCTGGGGAGACTCTTGTCAGTAGATAGTCTTTTCACTTGAGGGTATCATTTTAACACCTGTAGGATTGTTCATTGTTATTTCAAATTCTCTTCCTACAGTAATCAAAACAAGCTCATCTCTTTTTTTTTTATAAATGTTTTGCTTCGTGTTACATGCTTAGAAATAAGGGAATGTTCCTGAATTCAAAATGATTGCAGTTTACTAGAATTGTGAATATATTTTATTTAAAGAAAAAAAAAAAAAAAACAAGAACTAGGTTCTGTTGGTGGTGGTGCACACCGTTAATCCCAGCACTCACGAGGCGAAGGTGGGCAAGATCTCTGAGTCCCAGGACAGCCAGGGCTACGCAGAGAATACCTGTCTCAAACAAATGAACAAGCAAAAACCCAAGAACTGTTGATAGAAGATTATGGATGTGACAGAGCAGGCGGCAGTCACCGAGTAGCTTCAGCTGCCTGGCGTTTCTCTTCCGCTTGGCTCCCTCTGGTGGATGTTCAGGATACATGTAGTTCCCTTCTCCACCCAGTCATGCCTCTATATTGAGCCTCAAAATGAGAACATACAGCTAGCTTACAGCCTGCTCTCCTTTGAAAATGCTGCTGTTGTAGTCCACACACCAAATGATTGGATTTTCTGTCAGAAATCACCCGAGGTTAGAATATTCCATTCTACCAAAAAGAAAGAGGAGAGTGTAGCAGTCCCCTACCCGCCCACATGTCCTTGGCAAGACCTCAGGCATGGACACGAGGAAGAGGAAAGCCTGTCCCAGAGTCGTGTACTCACCCAAGTCATGTGGTCACGAGGCGCCTTTTTGGCTTCGGAGCAAAAACATCTGTTCCCCCACTTAATGTAGTTTGAAGTCACATGAACACTGAACACTGCTGCTAGCTGTGAAAGCCCTCTGCCTTCTCTGAGGAGTCGGGGAAGGTGTAGGTCACTTCTGTGTCTGAAGGCAGTACTCGGCAGTCCCCTTGCTGTGGGCCTTGGGGAGAGAGCCCATCTTCCCATCCCTTAACAATCTTTAATGAAAGCCCAGAGAAATAGCTGCTGCGGGACACCTCTGTGCTCTGCGCATGTGGAGGAGCTCACCTGCTGTTTGTTGAAGGCTTTTCTCCTCTGGATTCACAGGAGCCAAGGGGCAAACAGAATCTTGTTTCCAGAGTGTGTGTGCAACAGCAGCAGCTAGGGGTACACTCACTGCAACATTTGTTTTCCTTTTTCCCCCCCTAAAAAACAGAATTGACATTTTAGTCACAGAAATGCTGTGGAAGCTCTGTTACAAAATGTGACGAAAATAACACAAGTTTTACATTTCTGAAATGTAATTCTTGTATTTACGTGTCCTTTGCAGCAGTTTTGGATGGGCCAGCATTGTTGTGTTGCTGGAGGAGCCGAGTGTAGTTTTAACATCCTGATGGCATCTGTAATGAGCCACTTAATAGTTCCCTATGCAAAGCTTTATGGTGGGTTTGTGCTTTTTATGCTTGACATTGAAATTCCTCCGTGAGTTCTGAGAAAATGCCTGACTACCCTGTTGTTTTGCTGTAAAGTAACACTATTCCTTCTGTCTCTCTAGATGTCTGTGCATATATGTAGGACCTCTCATCATAGGGCCTAGGCGCTATGATGCCAACCGTAAGAGGAAACTTGCCAAGAAATGTTGGTTTAATAAGTGTCACTTAAGACAACAATTAATGTGTTTTCCACTGTTTGGGTTCTTAAATTGTACTCCTTCAGCCAGAGGAGCTTACGCTGTTGCTAATAAAGTTGAGGCGGCAGCAAGCGGAACTGAGCAGTGTCCGGGAGCACACCTTAGCACAGCTCATACAGCTGAAACTCGAGCCCCACAGCCCAAAGGTCAGCTATGGACACGCGTGTCTGCCGTCACCGCTCATCCATGCATCCTGTGTCCTTGGTGTCAAGCATGAGCCTGTACCATCATCACAGGGACATTACAGTCTCCTATTGACCCTTTGAGAATTCAGCGTATACAATTGAGAAAACACAGTGGAGATGCGTTTCTCCTTAACCTGTGACTCAGCTAGTTGGGAGGAGGAAGGAGGGAGCCGCTCTGAGGTCTCAGGGAAGTGCTGCTGTCGAATAAATACTTTGACTTGCACATCTGATAAAGCAGGTACTGAAAGCTTAGGCTTTCAGATGAAGCAGTAAACCGAAAATTCATTATAAGCCTTTAGTCCTTATGGGGAAGGGGGGGCGGGAGGAATGAACATGTAATGTTTCTCAGCTCACACGTGTGATTCCAGCACTCAGGATGTGGTACAGGAGGATCAGGAAGTTGGAAGCTGGTCTGAAATCTCTCAAAGGGTTAATGGCCTTTGTCGTGGGGGGGGCTGCAGTCAGAGGGTTAATGGCCTCTGTGTGTGTGTGTGTGTGTGTGTGTGTGTGTGTGTGTGTGTGTGTACAGAGGGCTACAGCAGCTAAGGATGGGCATGGGAGGCTTCTGTCTGCTAAACCATTGCAAGAGGTTTGCTGCAGTTTTGCACACCTGAATATGCCACCTGTACGGTGACAGCACGTTTGTGAAAGTTGTGCACTGTGATGCTACACTGTTATTCTTACTACCAGTTGACTTTGATGCTTTGCTCTGTCCCTCTCTCCTGACCGGCGGCCACTAGAATGACATTCTTTCCCATCACCTTCAAAGGAACACCGTGTATTTGGACCACCAGGTGGGGTTTGTAGAATTTTCTTACTGTGACACCAATTAGAACGTACAGATTATAGTACAGTTTTATGGCTACTTAAGTATTTCAGTCATTTAATTAACAGTGTGATTTCTGCAAGTGACAGAAAGGAGCCCTGACCAAAAGGCAACAGGCATTTGTGAGGGTCAATGGAGAATACAAACACCGAATCACCCAAGATTGAGAGCCGTATCCTCTGTGTCTCTTTCCTCGTATCTCATGAGAATTCTCAGGCACAGTTTAGGAAGCAACAGTGAAGGAATGAATACTATGGATGTCCTGTGGACAGTTGTTAAGGAAAGCAGTAGTGTTCTGGATTCCCTAAGGAGGGCTTCAGGGCACATGGAATGTGCTGGAAGCCACCCTTGGTTGCCTGGTGCTGTGTCCCCACACAATCTGGTCTTTGCCCAGTGTACAGAGCCTATTTCACAGTGGCCTGGGCTTCTCCCCATTGCTTCAGTGGTGGGTGACCAAGAGGAATGATCACAAGCAAAGTGAAAGGCATTGTGGGTGACCGTGTCTGTTTTCCTGGGCTACAGACGGACCCTGTCTCACAAAGGGAAACACACCTTGAAAAGTGAAAATATTGGTAAACCACGATTGTCCCAGCTTTTAGTTCTTAGCCACTATATTTAGTGGACCTTGGTATCTTATCAGACATAATTTCTGCTCATGTAGTAAAGTCATTAAAACAGATCAAGCTAAACCTTACTTTAAGTGTCTTAAAATGTGTAGATTTGGATGTTTTATCAAATAAAGTTCCCATTCTGGAAATGGCTCTAAGACAGATGCTGACATCTTTGAAAGGAAACGGTAAACACAGCTTTATAAACTCTATTTTAAAAGGCCTTATGCCAGGATAACCCCGTGCAGACATGTTCAGCCATTTTGATTTTAAAAAGCACACTTTCTCAGTGTGTAACTTACACGCTTCCCACTCATGCTTGTCTGCTTTTACCTGTTGGAATGCTTCCAAAGTCAGCGCGTTGTCACCCAAGCTCAGATCTTCACTGCCGAAGCCTGGCCTGATGAAACTCAGTCGTGGCTCTAAAATGTACTTTGACAGCAGTGTAATAAAGATGCTCACCTCACGTCCAGAAAAGCTGCTGGGGTCTACAGAAAATAAACTGACCATAAGCTTCCTTTGCGCTGTAAAGTAGAGGGGCTGACACGGTAGCACACGCCCCTGGTGCAGCCGTCCAGAGTCGGGAAGATCCAGGGGACCCTGGTTCAGAAGAACTGACCAGACCAACAAAGAGGAGAACAAACCACAGATCATTCTGAAAACCTGTGGATTCCACAAAAATTAGTCGTAAAAACTAGCATCAGCATGAGCCAGGTTGTGAGAACCTTTGGAAGTAAGGCATAGTTTGCTGTGATCAGTGACCTCAGGAAAGGCTACGGTGTAGCTGCAGAGACGGGGTTCTGGGCATTGCCGGACAAATGAGTGCATTGCACCCACCGCGGTGCCTGAGATGTTCTCCCGTCCTCTTTCTGCTCCCAGAGTGACACAGGTCCCATGTCAGGCCTGTGTGTGCCACTGGTCTCTAAACATGCAGTTATGCCATGCTAGGGGTCACCGTTGTAACTTGCTGAAATACTGGCCATTTGTAGTCTCTGTCAGCAGGGTTTTCAAGCCGTTTGCCTTTTTCTCAGATTCTGAAACAGTTATATTATTTCCATTTTTAAATTTTATAATAGGAATAATTATAGAAATGGATATTTTGTGTGGTAACTTTGCATTTAAATGTAGCTACTTCTGATAGTGAGCATGTGGCTGTTTTTAGATAACAGTTAAATGTTACTTTATGACCAGAAACTCACCTGTATCTAAATGTGTATAACCCAGGTTACCTTGGGGCTGGGCAGATGACTCAGCTGGTACAGTCTTTGTTGTACATCCCCAGAGCCCAGCATAGAGGGACACACTTGTAATCCCAGCACTATTATGATAGAGACAGGCGACCCCTGGAGCAGACTGGCCGGCCACCCTAGCCAAATCAGCAAGCCTCAGGTCCCAGGGGTCTCAAAAAGGTGTTGGGGGGACAAGGTGGATGCCTCTGAGAAACAATGTGGTTGACCCCTAGCTTAGATACAAACACACTCACAAAACCACAAAACGTTGCCTAAAGAAAATCTCTCCTAAAATACATTTACAATCATTTCCAGCAGTGTATTGAAATGAAAATTTTGGACTGCATTGTGCACTGTGTCTCCTTATAGCTATACAGTGTGTGAAAGTGAGTCTGGTGATTTTAGTAGACTTTCTCAATCAGCTCTAACCTCTGCAGCTGTCTGTCTTGTTCCTGTCAGTAACCTGTTTCAGCTGGCCAGGTCTGGTGTTTTTGAGTGTCCGGGATTTATGGGTTGACTCATCAGTTTTATAGAACCACAAATTAGACGGCAGATCAGAGGGACAGGCTCTGGGCAGACTCTAAAGGGCACACATCAGAGGAACGTGTTCTGGCTGACTCTGACTCTCCGCCTTAGCTCCTGCTGCCTCCCACTCACATTAACAGGAGCAATCAACGCAGCCTTTCCCTAGCCTTCTGTGGGTGCCACAGCCACCCAAAGGACATTCGTTTAAATTCTATCAATTTCTAACATTATTCGTGAAAAGTAGACCCAGAGAGCCCCTGAGCTATTTCAGAGATGAACTCTTGTCCGCTGCCACTGACAGGCTACAGCAGATGAAGAAGACTCCAGCCCCTTGCCAGGAAGCAGGAGGCCTGGAACATTAAACTCCCTGTCTGAAGGTCCTGCCTTCTGCTCTGGTCTCAGTAGTTGAGCACCAGAGTATGCTTTCTCATCGTCACCTCTGAGGGCAGGTGGCTGCTGAAATGGTTTGAAGGCCACAGCAGCGCTGGCTATGGTGGTACACACTTGGCTGACGTGCCCCGGTTGCTGAGGGTTGCACCAGTGAATTGTAGGCCTCTTGGACTACAGACTTAGGCCCCGTCTCACAAAATCAAAACATCAAGACTCACAGTGCAATTCCGTGGTAGGCCTTCCCTCTGCCTTCTGCTTTATCCTGAAGTGCACTATCACAGATTGCTAAAAGAGCTAGCAAACTACTTGACGTCTGTATTTTTAACAATATTTTCATGTATGAGAATTCCATACATGTGTATGTAGTATTTCAATCATATCCACACCCTCCCAGCTCCACGACGTCCTCTGCATAACCAGCTGAGTCCATTCGATGAGCTGGGCTCATCTTGTTCTTCCGAGCCTCTCTTTTCCTTCCAACTTCCCCGTTAGTAAGAGCAATGAAGAGATGGCATTTAGATGGCTCTTCCTTCCATGAAGTCTTCTTGAGCCTTGAGACCTCCAACCTGGAAGACAAAGCTTAGTCTAATAATGACAGAAGATGGCATGCTAGGAGTGGTGGCTCAGACAGGACAGGAGGCAGCCCAGGAGAGCGCTAGGCACCAGGGGCTGAAGTCAGGGACTAAAACTGCCACTTTTTACCTTACATTTTCTAAAGGGGTACTTACATAATTAGGAGGAGGCAAGAAAGTCATTTTCGATGCTTTTTTTCTAATTTTCTTATAGATTCTTATTTTATGTGCAGGTTTCACGCATGTAGGTGGGCACACCACATTTGTGTCTGGTGCCCAGAAGAGGAGTTCAGAAGAGGGCGTCAGATCCCTGGAAACTGGAGTTATAGACAGTTGTGAGCTACCGCAAGGACGCTGGGAACCAAACCCAGGTCCCCTACAAGAGCAGTGCACACTCTTAACCACCGCACTGTTTCTCCAGCCCCCTAACTTAAGAGTAAACTAAGCTTTCTATTTTGAAAACGCTGTATGGTAGCATTTAGATTTTATAATGCAGTACCTCTTCATGAACCATGTGCTGCGAGTGCAAATGACTTTGGATGATATCCAAGATTCCGTCTTCACTATACTCTTAACCTCTGAGCCATCTCTGAAGCCCCCAAGAGTATCAGTCTTCTTCACTCCTTCGTTAAAAATTGTATTTATTGTGCGTGCACTCCTGCATATATGTGAGCATGCACAGTACCTGTGAAGTCAGAATCACTTCTGCCGTTTCTCCATACGGGTCCCGGGGATCCCCAGCTTTAACTCGCTGAGCCATCCATCTCTCCATCCCTTCATGCCTACTCTTGATTCCTCTCTCCTCTCCGTCTCTTTTCCTCTTCTTTCTGGTTGAGACGTCTCATATGGCCTGACTTTGATCCGTCTGCCTCCACCTCCCTACAGTCTGTTGTTGTTGTTGTTTTATGGGGGTTCCTCTCTCCTCTTTGTCCTCTGTTCTCTTTCTCATTCCCTCTCTTCCCTTCCTTCCACCACCTCACCCTTCCCCTCCTCTCTCTCTCTCTCTCTCTCTCTCTCTCTCTCTCTCTCTCTCTCTCTCCCTCCCTCCCTCCACCCTCACCCCCTTCGCATCTCCAGCATAGAAGTTGAAGCCCAGAAAGTCCTTGAGTAGAATAGGACATCATGATAGCAGAATTCTAAGAAAACTAACTAGACATTGGGTGGATAGAATTCTGAGTGTGGACTTCACACCCACTTGTCAGTCCCCTGATCTCTTAACCTGACCTGTCCAGTGCCTACCTGACTATAGCTATTGGTTGGTGATGGACCTGATCCTTGTTGATAACTATTTCACCTGTCTTGACCTTAACTACAAAGTTACTTCTTTCCTCACATTCTCTCAGCTGAGTTCATCTCAGTTTTCTGCTCGTCACTGTGTTCTCTCAAGTTTGTGTCAGAAAGCAGAGCTTGTAGTGTGAGCTTCCTGATGTGGGTTTGTTGGCATGAAGTTTACTTTGGAAAATTGTAGTGAGTCTTTCTTGTTGGACTTTCTTGGATTACCAACCCCCAAATGATGACATGGACACTTATTAGGAAAGCTTGTCCTTTAGCTTAGACTTGTTCCCAACTAGCTCTTACAACTTTAATTGACCTGTGTCTAACAATCTACATTCTGCCACGTGCCTTTACCACTCCTTGACTCTGTGTCTGACGGGCTCGGTGACGGGCATGTCTGCCTCTCTTCCCAGAGTTCCTCTCTCTCCCTGGAAATCCCGCCTCTTCTCTCCTGTCGAGCTGTTGGCCATTCAGCTCTTTATTAAACCAATGAGAAGGCGCCTTAGGCAGAGACATCTTCACAGTGTACATGAAGATTATCCCACAACAGGAGGTAATACCAAGGCGAAAGCAAAGAGTGAACAGGGAATGACAACCGGGTCTCACTCATCACATTAAACTTTGACAAATGAACAAAAGCTGGAGAAGTCCCACAAGTTCACTGGGGAATTGCAGGAAACTGGCCCCATCCTCGGGTGCTCTGGGGCTGACTGGCTGCCACCGCCCTAAGGCTATGTTTGAATCCATGAGCCCTGGGTGGGTTCTCCCAGGCAAGGTTCATGGGGCTGGGTGGGTTCCCACTTTAAACAAAGATCAACTGATAAGATGTGGGGAGGATGGGACCAGAGAGATGGCTCAGTGGTTACAGCTCTTCCAGAGAACCCAACATGGCAGCTCACAACTGTCTCCAACTCCAGTTCCAGGGGATCTTATGCCTTCCGGATTCTGCATGCACATCCTGCACAGACAATACATGCTGGCAAAACACCCACACACAAAATAATTAAATTTTTTAAAAAAGATGTTCTCAGCTCTCCAGCACAGGTCCAACATTCCCAAACACGAATTTAATGTGAGCTTCTCATCTATGACTTTCATGTCTGGCAAAAATCACTAAAAGCAAAGAGTAGATGGGATCCCAAGGAGGGGGCGAGCCATTCTGTCCAAGGGCTCTTTAGAGCAGACTGCACCATGGCTGAGCTATGTGTCTGCATGGAGCTCCTCGGGCCACACAGGAGAGTTGCTCAGGAGTTGTGTCCAGTGATTCCAGTGCACATGGGTGAGGGACCACTACTCTAAATAGCCGTTGATTCAGAAGTTTAATTATCCTGTGCATTGCAATGCCTTATCGTCCATTCTAATATAGACGTTAATTGACTACATTGATGAAAGTAACCTCATTGGTGCACTCAGAGGTTTTGTGACAGGATAGTCGAGTGCACTCCTTAAACCCTGGGAGAATCACAGAAATGAGCTGACATGATGAACACCAGACCTGTCTGCTTAGAAATGCTGAAAATTTTGTTAGCCATCTACCTTCTATATCAGAATGCTTTTTTTTTAATGCTTTGGCTAACTACAAAGCTGCATGAAACTGAAATTTTCTAGAAGCCGAAATGAAGTAGAATATAGCTAGAATTGTGAAGTTATGCTTTCAGCCTACTGTGGCAGGAGCTAAGGAGGTTTGCTGAGTCCTTGCTGAATGAGTTTTATTTTAAATGTCCTTGAATGATTCTATATATACCATTATACTGTGATAAAATCCAAGAGTGTATATAAATGCCTATAAAGACTAATTTTAATAAAATATGTTATCTAAGTGGTAAAAATGTTGGGTAGTATAAAGTTTTAATAGCCCTAGAGAACTAATTTTTTCCTAACTAGCCTTATTAAGAACTACAGTTTGTTTAAGTTTTATTACTAAATAAAACTAAACAATATCATTTTTCTCCTTCTAAATTCACAGATTGTCGCTCTCTAGAAAGTTTAAGTTTTCTTTTTATGTTTAATGCTTTGCCATCTAACATAGGTAAAAGTAGCTCTTAATTGGCTGTATTGATTAAAGTAAGATCTGATTGCAGCACTGTAGCAGTCAGCGAGGTTTATTTATAGCCTTTGGTGTATTTTATAGCTTTAGGTGCTTGCTTGAAATTGTTGGTATGCATTAAGTCTTTGCAACCATGGGGTGAAATGTAGCAACTGCACTGTTAGGAGGATACTAAAGTAGAGGATATATTTACAGTGTCGTCTTTCAAATCTACCTGTGCTGTAAACTGATGTTTGCTGTATGCTCCTCCTGATTTGAAATAGATGAAAGAAAATGAACCTATTATCACCATGGTTCACACAATGATTGAGAACTCGGCGCTAAGACCACAACTGTACCAACAAGTAAGGTCTTGGACAGTGAATGACACTGCATTGTCATCTGCAAATCCTCTCAGTGACAGCCTTGTCTATCCTCAGACTTCCTCATGACATCAGTGTTTTTACCTTTCGTTTCTGTTTGTTTGGGAAACCACACTTCATCCATGCTCCCCAAGATGCTGTGGTACCCTTAGCATGGCTTTGCTGAACACTTGGCGTTGAATATTAAGTGTGTCATCTCCCTAAAGCTTTTGTTTACATCATGTGGTTGCTAGATACTTGGAGGTCTGCAGTACACTTAGCAAGAGTTACTAGGTTTCTGTGGATTCACTCTGAAGGCGTTAAAAATGGATTTCAGGGAGAAAGATTGATAAACTGTTTCCTTTTAAACACAGCCCTCCAAACCCCTCCTACTCCAGGGATAGCACGTTTATGTGGGCGGTGACTATCTAGTGTCTGTATTGATGGACTGGAACCTTCCCCACACTTGTAACATAGCAGGGCTGTTGGCTGTCCTGTATTACATTTCCTATGCTTCCCCCAGGGGACGCCCCATCCCGTTCCTTTCTCGCACATTCACAGTGTGCCCGGGAGTCGGCAGGCTTTGACTTAGGAACCTTGGTAACCTGCAGATCTGCAAAGGAAGTCACGTGTTTGTATCCATTGCTTCCAGTTATTATTTATCCATGGTCTAAATGTCCCTGGCTCTGTGTTCAGCAGCACCGGCTTCTCCCACTCCCGCACCCTCCAGTCCTCTGGGCAGTGGCCTGTTGAGATATTTTTAAATCATGCCACAGAGGAAAGAACTAACTCAACATGAAAAATGAATATAGATCCTAACTCAAACATGGAAAGCACCTGATCAAAGGAAGCTTGTGGGCTTGCACCGGCTGGAAAGGCCCCGGTACCAGTGGCTTTGAAGTGTGCTTATGGTCAGGGAGCAGGCCTCCATGAAGCTGAGAGGTGAGGCCTACTGTGGGCCCAGTTTTCAAAATGTTTAAAATATGTTTAATGACTGAAAGCATCTTTAATGTGCGAGAGGTAACCAAAACACTAAATATTTAAAGTTAAGCAGCTTTACTCCAAGCGGACAGAAGTGCGTCATGCCTTGTAACCCTTCATGGCACATGTGTGAGAGGCATCTCCAGGATCCAGCTCAGGTCTGCAGGCTCAGAGCGAGTGCTTTACCCACAGAGCATTCTCACCTCCTCTGTGGTTCTGTTTTGGGACCGGGTCCCGCTTCCTCCTAAGTGCTGGGATTATACTATCCTCATGGGCCACCAAGCCTGGCTGGGACCACCATAATTTACAAATTCTCCTTAGGTGGCCTCCTGGAAATCCATCTAGACAGCGGGTTTTCTCCAAATTAACCAAATGAAAAGTACCTAATGCCAGTAGTAAACAAGTGTCCAGTTATATTTGATTTGATTTGGTGTGTGTGTGTGAGAGAGAGAGAGAGACAGAGACAGAGAGAGAGAGAGAGAGAGAGAGAGAGAGAGAGAGAGTGTCTTATGCCACATGAGTGCCTCGTGCCTGAGGAGGCCAGAAGAGGGCATCAGATCCCCTGGAACAGACGGAATGGAACCCAGGTCCTCTGGAAGAGGAGCCAGTGCTCTTGCTAAGCTGCCTCTCTGGCTCCTGCATCAAGATGTTTCACAGTGTGAATTTGTCAGTCATTTTACCTGTCACACTTGTACTCTGGGCTTCATAAGATGGTGACTGCTAATGAAGTTACTCACAGATGAAAGATGTGTGCCAGCAAAAGCCTGCAGTCCTGTGAACATCGTTTGCTTCTGTTTGTTGGTGGGTTTTTTGATTAGAAGTTTTATAGTGGGGTTTTGTTTTGTTTTTTTCCACTGCTTATTTGTTTTGAGACAAGGTCTTACTATGTAGCCCATGCTGCCCTGGAACTCATCATGAAGCCAGGCTGCGCTTGAACTCAGATATCCCTGTCCCTCTGCCTCCTCAGTTCTGGGATTAACAGTTTGGCGACTGTGTCTGGCTGTTAATAATACTGTTTTTGCTTTTGAAGCAGTGACTCATGTTCCAGGCTGTCTAGCACCCCATAAAGATGGTGCTGAACTTGTGCCCCTCCTCCCTCTGCCCCACCAGTGCTGGGACTGCAGGCACGTATGAGTGCCCAGTTTCGTTTGGTTCTGGGGATTGAACTGAGGGCTTCATGAACGCTGCGTAAGCGCTCTACCAGCTTTACATCCCCAGCCGACTGTTCTCAGGTCATTGGGTATAGTATATTATCAGACTGAAAGTAGTTCCAAAGCCAGGCCTGATGTTTCACACCTGTCATCGCAGGCACTTGGGTGGTGAGGCAGAGGATTGCTCTGAGTTCAAGCCACTTTGGGGTGCACAGTAAGAGTATCACCAAAAAGAGGGGAGGGAGGAAAAAACAAAACTGGTGCTAGAGCGTAGGCGAGTGGCTAAGGGTGCTGCTCTTGAAGAGGACCTGGCTTTGGCTGTCCAAGCGCGCCTCGAGGATTGAGCACACTTTCTGACGCCCACACTCATAAGTGCATCCACTCACAAAGACACATAGAGCACATAGCTTTAAAAATGTTCAATGTTTTTACAGCGTAACAGAACTCTCTTGGAGTGTGTGTGTGTCTGTGTGTACATTGTGTACATGTAAGAGAGACAGTTCACAAACACGAGGAATTTTAAAGGTTGAATTTTCTTTTGTTTGTTTGGTTGGTTTTTGTTCCTTAGTGGAGGTGGGGTTGCTTTTTTCTTTTTTTTTTTTTTTTTTTTTTTTTCTTTTTTGACAGGGTCTTACCATTAACCCTGGCAGCTCACTGTGTAGCTCAGGCTGGCCTCACGCAAAGGTCCACCTGCCTCTCCCTCCTGAATGCTGGTATTAAAGACACGCCTCACCATCCCCACCTCAAAAACTTACATTTTACTTAACGCCATTTTATTTTAACTTAATGCCAAGCCTGCTTTAATGAAAGAGAGAAAAGCCAGCATTGGACAACAAAGGCTTAGAGATGAGAGCACCTGCCTGCTTTGCTCCATTCTGGATTCCGTCCCCAGCACAAGTAAAAGGAGGGAGAGAAGATAATGAAATCAAGAAGAATTGACGAGAGAGGCTTGGCCGCAGCTCTTGAAGGAAAGGCGGGGGCCAGCTAGATGGCCCAGTGGACCCTCACCACCAAGCCTGACAGCCCGGGTTGGACCCCTGGGTCCTACACAGTACATTTATCTTCTAACCTCCACATGCACACTGATAGTGGTGTGTCTTACACACACACCAAAAAAGGGGGAACTAGGGACTTGGTTTTGATTTGGGGTCTTTTTTGTGTTGGTAGCATAATATTGTGACCCCAGCTCTTAGGAGGCAGACAAGAAGATCAGGAGTTCAGACTCATCCTTTGCTGGTGTTTGTTTGTTTGTTTGAGTCCAGCATGATCTTCATGAGACCCTGTCTCAAAAAAGGAGTGGGGGTGCTGCCAAGATGGCGGAGTGGCTAAGAGCACTTGGGACTCTTTGAGAAGTACCCAGCTCAGTTGTAAGGTGGCTTACAACCAACTGTGTAACTCTTAACTCCCAGGAACCCAACACCCTCTTCTGACCTCCTTGGGCACCTGCGCATACGTGACATATACACATAAGTTAAAATATGATGTGTTCTCCTGACTTTGAAGACTTCGCTCCAAAGCCGGAACAGCCAGGCGAGCTGACGAACCCCCTTAATCTCAGCATTAGGGAGGATGGGTGTAAGTGCCAGAGCAGCCAGGTCCCACCAAAAGGTTGTGAGTGTGCAGTGGACACTTTTGGTGCTATGGCAGCTGATATGAAAACTGAGTCCTAAATGACTCTTAAATAAAAACAACAGCAGGGCCGTAAACAGTCACCATAAGTCCTTTTAGCAGACTGGTGCTCTTCTCTTTGGTCCTTGGGCACAGGATCCATAACCTAGTTGTAGCACACTCTGCTAGCTGCTTTCACAGGTCATGGGTTAGTAAAGCTGCTTTGCATTGAACTTTAAATATGAAGCAAAATGTGCCTTTAAGTCTTCAGTGTAAAAACTAATTTTGGCCTCTTCCAGGCGGGATCATGAATAGAAGCATTGTAAAACTCACTCTTTGTCCCTTTTTCAGGGAAAGGTGTAAATGCTTCCTTGGATCCAGGTGCTTTGGTCTAGAAAAACAGGACATCTATGAGGATGCTATTGGCTGAACTTTACCTACAATAGTAAACAAGTGTTCTTTTACCATCAAATTCATTTTTCATGTAATATTCATTTGTATAAAACTTTGGTCTAATGATCATTCTGCATACCTTAAATAGTTACAGTTCATTTGCATGAGGTATGTGAAGTAAAGTCATAAGATGAAATATGTAATTCCAGGATTTATGTGTATGTTTGGAATGCTTGAATTTTTAACCTTTTGATTTCCACATTTCTAGATCCATTTAGTGTTCTCTGCTGATGTTTTAAAACTGTAACAGTCAAGCATATATTTATAGAGGGGAAATATAATCAAACACACTCTTAAGGATTTGTATACGTATATAATATTTAGCTCCACAACTAGATTATATTGGGGAGTGTTACTCCTGAACCGACAGTGAGTGAAAATGTGCCATTTAGTAAACAGACAATACGGTTCAGCTCAATTTTGCTTAATGTGTTTTTGTTGCTGTCTAGCAGTCAATATAAAATCAAAAGACAGTGAAATGATGCGTGCAGAGGCTGTGGTGTGCTCTGGGTATGACTGACTGAGATGGCTGTGGAACCCTTGGTAAGCACAGTCAGAAACGAGATTCATGTGGCAAACACTATTAGAAGAGCATTAAAAGATTTTCAGTCATGGAAAAGTAATTCCTGACGAGGCCGGAAGTACTGTGTGCTCTGTTTTAGAGTGCTTGGTAACCACGCATGAGGCATTGGGTTTGGTTCCCAGTACTAGAAACGTAACAATTGCTGTTAACAGTCGCATGCAAATGCTTTCAGTCACAAGTATAAACCTTCTGCAATTGGTTTATTCATAACTTACTTACTCATAACTCAGTTTTATGAGGTGCCAAGTGATTTTCTCTTTGCAATTAAACCCGCCCTTTTCCTCATTATCTTTTAGTTCTTAAGACAGAAGAACCAGATAAGTCTCTATTGTGTATGTGTGTTTAAATTGCATATATGTATACGGTGTGTCACAGGTCCTGCTAATGCGGTTTTGCTAAGATGTGTTGATTTGAGTGCACACACTGAGTGTGTGTATGCGCTGTGACAGATGCTCTCCCTGGACATGCTGATGCAAACATTTGGTTCAGCGCAACTGCTATAGTAGTGTTTGTCCATTTTCCATCAAAGTAATGTTTGTCTTTACGGTGGAAAATGGAAGGTGCTATCTTAATTTTGTTTGGCCAGCTTATTGTTTGACCAGCTTATGTTGGCATCTTTCTTATGTATCTTGCGTATTGTATCAATGCTAAGTGTTTCTCTACTTTTGTGACGGTGTGTGCTTGAGTTAAATTTCTAGAAGTATAAAAATCATTAAAATCCCGCTTGTCATGCCGTCCTTTTGACAGAATTTTAAAGTGTTCGCTATAGACTATATGTATTACTTAAATATGATTTTTAAAGTTTCTCTGTGGCATTTTTTTCTTATAGCTGTCACAAGATGAATGTAGAGGCACATTATACAAATACAGACCCGAAGAAGTAGATATTGATGTAAGTATCTCTGACCACCAGAACTCTCTTTGTAGACCAGGCTGACTTTGAACTCGGAGAGGTCCTCCTGCCTCTGCCTCTGAAGCACCAGGATTAAAGGCGTGCACCACGGAAGCCCAACTACTATTAAGAACTTTTAAAGATAAAGCCAGGAAGTGTGTTGGTACATTCCTGCCTAGCCGAGGCAGAAGGCAGGAGGATTTGAGGAAGTTCCAGGCCAGCCTAGCCGAGGAGACTTTGTCTCAAATACACAAATAGACAATAAATAGATAAATGGTTTGCGCTGGCACTGTAGCTTGGCAGTAGAGCTTGTGCTTAGCATTCCTGGGACTCTGAGCTCCATCAGTTATGGTGGCGTGTGCCTGTAGTCTAAGGTGGCATCCGTGATTGTTAAGAGTGTTTTGAGGTATGTGAGCTGGAAAGCACACTAAGACTGTTTCTCTCCGTGTGTTTAAGTATTTGACTGCTCTTACTTTTTTTTTTTTTTGAAGAAGGGTCTCAGTGTGTAGACTAGGGTGTAACATGAAAAAACCTGCCTGCCTCTGTCTCCAGAGATTGAAGGCATGTGCCACATTCCATGCCCAAAACCTTTTACTTTAGGTAGTTCTCATTGAAATAAAAATGCCCTGGGCGGAGGAGGGTGGGTTGTATGGAATAAAGAATTTCAATTAAAAGACTAAATTAATCTTTACAAAGTTCTACTAGATATCTGTGACTGTTTTAAATGGCTCCCTTCCCCCTATCACAGGAAAGGCTTTGCATTTCTAACAACGGACGTCTTCTCTTCTAGGCCAAATTAAGCAGATTGTGTGAACAGGACAAAGTGGTCCGGGCCCTGGAGGAGAAGCTGCAGCAGCTGCACAAGGAGAAAGTAGGGCCATTACCTTTCCTATGTACGGTCGGCGTTGCCGCCTGTGCCGATTGTGAGGCCGCGGGGAGCCAGAGTAAAAGGAATTAAGTCAGTGGTGCAGAACATTCAGTGTCGTCCTCTCTACTCCAACAGTACACGCTTGAGCAGGCCTTGCTGTCCGCCAGCCAAGAGATAGAGATGCATGCAGATAACCCCGCCGCCATCCAGTCTGTGGTGCTGCAGAGGGATGACCTGCAAAGCGGGCTGCTCAGCACCTGTCGGGAGCTCTCCCGAGCCACCGCTGTGAGTACTTGGCCTTCCCTAGAAGCCTCCTGGCATCAGGACCTGGTGCCACAGTGCCGCGGGGCGGTCACTGGGGTCAGGGCCTGCCTGGTAGCAGACTGTATTCAGGGTCAGCAGTGCGACTTAGTGAGAGCCTTTCTCAGAAGAGGAAGAGGTGTGGCCATTTGGTCAGTGGTAGAGCCAGGCCTGGTGCCACGCCCTGTGATCCAAGAACTCAGAGAGCCAGGTTTAGAGGCCGCACTCTGTCTCAAAAAAAAAAAAAAAAGTCATTTAAAATGGGTGTGATGGCACACGCCTTTAACCCACCAGCACTCCAGGAGGCCAACCATGGCCACATCGTGAGACCCTATCTCAAAAAACAAAAACAACAAATATTACAGTCTTTTGACTTTTCTCAATGTTTTTAGCTGGTCTGTCTCTAAAATTGTTATCACAGCAGATGTTAAGCCAAATATGGTGTCACACCCCGCCATACTGTCCAGGCAGAATTACTAGAGCATTAAGGCCAGCCTGTTGCTGCACTGTGAGATCTTATAGCTACAAAAAGAGAAAGAAAGATTAATTCTTGTTGGCATACTTGTGTTTAGGGACATGAAAACAAGGGGCAGCCTTTTTCTATAATTCGAGCCTTTATGAGATGGATATCCACTGAGAGAAGTATCCTGCTTTCTGTGAATTAGGCAAATGGGGAGTCTCTTTTTTTTTCCTTTTAGTTTTTGAGGCAAGGTCATAAGAAAAAATTCTGTTTTGTTTTTTTTTTTTTTGGTTTTTCGAGACATGGTTTCTCTGTATTGTTTTGGAGGCTGTCTTGGAACTATTGGAACTAGCTCTGTAGACCAGGCTGGCCTCGAACTCACAGAGATCCTCCTGCCTCTGCCTCCCGAGTGCTGGGATTAAAGGCGTGCGCCACCAACGCCCGGCTCATAAGAAAAAAATTCTTAAGTATGTTAAAATGTATTTCATTAGCCAGGCGGTGGTGGCACACACCTTCAGTCCCAGCACTCGGGAGGCAGAGGCAGGCGAATCTGTGTGAGTTCGAGGTACCCACGTAGACCACGAGAAGGTGCTGGATTCCCTGGAGGTGAAGTGACAAGCAGTCGGGAGCTGCCTGGCATGGGTGCTGGGAACTGAACTCGGGTCCTCTGCAGAGGCAACAAGCCCTGGTGACCATGGAGCCTTCCTTTCAGGGACATTGACCCAAGTCCCTGCATACACCTGGCAGGCGCTCCACCACCACACACTCCTCAGCCTCTTGTTTTTTTTTTTTTTTTTTTTAAACAGGACCTACCTAAGTTACCAGGAAGCCCTGCTTCTAACTCAGCCTTCTGACAGCAGGGGCTGCAGTCATGTGTTGCCAAGCACGGCTTTTTTACGTTTTTCAGCGTACACCAGGTGTGGTGAGGCACGAGGCGCATACTTACAATCCCAGCACTGGCGGCCGAGACAGGGGGATCATTTCAAGATCAAGTCCAGCCAGAGTTAAGGAGCTGGAGAGATGGCTCAGTGGTTAAGAGTGCTTACTGGGGGCTGGAGAGATGGGTCGGGGTTGAGAGCCCTGGCTCTTCCAGAGGACCTAGGTTTAATGCCCAGCACCTACATGGCCACTCACAGCTGTCTGTAACTCCAGTTCCAGGGGATCCAGCATCTTCACCCAGACACACATGCAGGCAGAGTACCAACACACATAAATAAAATGGATAATTTATTTAAAAAACAAAAAACGAGCATTTGCTTCTCTTCTTCCCAATGGCCTCACTTGGTTCCCAGCACCCATGTCAGGTAGCTCGCACCTGTAACTCCAGCACCCATGTAGTGGTTCGCAGACATGCATGACTCCATTTCCCAGGGACCTGATGCCCTTTCCCAACCCTGCGGGCACCGGGAGTTCATGCAGTGCGCATGCATGCCTGCAAGCAAGTGAACGCCCACACGCATTAAGTAAATCAGTCTTAACAAGTGCTCTAAAGACACAAGGCTGGGCTGTTAGAGCCTAGGCTCACAACCACAACACAAGAAAACAAAGGACACCAACGCTGGAGAGGAAATAAGGAACTTTACCCACACTGGTGAGGTTGTACACGGCTGGGCGAATGTCAGGTTCCTGAACACAGGGCCGAAGAGACGGCTTCACTATCCCAGGGTCCAGGTTCAGTTCCTAGCATCCCTGTGGGGTGGTTCCCATCTGTCTGTAGCAGCAGCTCCAGGGGATGTGATGAGTTCTTCTGACCTCCAGGGGCATCCACTCACACGCGCTTACCCCCACACACACACAGCGTTAAAAATAAAATGAATCAGCAGATGGTCCAGCCATACCATTGTATCCCAGCTATATCTCCCCAGAAACACTGTTCATCCAGGGCTACTACCAACAGCCACAAGAGCTAAGCAAGGGAACCAGCCTACGGGTGCATAATCCAATAAATATGGTGTTTTTTAATAGGGATTTTTTGCAGCCATAAAAAAATTAAATAATGACTTTTGCAGAAAAAATAGATGGAAGTGAAGGAGATACATTGCATTAAATAAAATAAGCCAGACTCTGAAATGACACCGCGTGCTTTCTCTGAATGAATTGAGCCTTGGAAAAGAGGAAACCATAGACAGGAATGAGTTCTAACAACTTCTGTTTCTGTGCTGGAGGCATAACTCAATAAAACACTTGCTTACCATGTTCTTGGCTTCATTCTGCCAAGAGATTTTTTTCCCCAGTAAGCCGTACAATTTTCTGAAATCTTGCGAGGTTTTAAGTATACAGGAAAACATGGGTCCCCTTTAAAATAATGACTCTTTTGACTGTAGGAGCTGGAACGAGCCTGGAGAGAGTATGACAAGTTAGAATATGACGTGACTGTCACCAGGAACCAGATGCAGGAGCAGCTTGACCGCCTTGGGGAAGTGCAGGTAGGACAGGCGGTCTGCCCTCGGTGAACTTCTGTAGCCTTAGCGGGTTCATACACACCCAAGTGTCCTCGGTGACAGGGTTCTGACTCTCCTACAGAGTGCGTCTCCTTAAAGCCTTTGCATTGTACTGAGCCCTGATAAACCCTGAAGTACTTCTGATTCGTGGTGTTTAGCGTAGTTCCCTCAGGCGCTGTGCTCCCTCAGGCGCTGTGCTCCCTCAGGCGCTGTGCTCCCTGTACCTAGCTCAGCTCTCTCAGCACTCACCTCAGCTCTCAGCACTTCTGTAAGTGTGACTTGTGCAGACTCTTTCACAAGTCACTCTGAATTGTTCATTGTGTGCATTGTTTTTCTCTTGTGTCGCTCTTGTAGCTCTTGCAGATGCTGGGGTCACAAATGTGCCCCGCCAACCCTATTTATCAAATGATGTTTGTTTTTAAATATTTTCCTTGGGGATGGAGTGATGACTCAGCACTTTAGAGCACTGGCTGCTCTTCCAGAGCAGCACTGGATCCCTGGGCGAAGGGTTACAGGTGGCTAAGTGCTGTTCAGTGTGGAGTCTCTGAAAATATTATTTCCCTGCAAGGGTCACAGAGTTGCAACAAGTCTTGAAATTGTATGACTTTTAGCCAAAAGGCATGATATCCAGAGTAGAGTAAAAGTTGTAATTGAACATTTGTATTGCAAACACATGTATTTATTTCTGTCAGCCTAGTGGTTTTATGTTCTCGAATTTAGGAAGTAGCACAGGATATGTCCCATTCCCTTCAGTGAATCATGAAACCCCAAATAGCGTCAGGCCTGTATAGTAAGGATGGGAGGAGGTGATCCTGGGCAGAGAAATACTAAGTATCAGCTGTACCATTGAACTGCTCTGGGCTACACCTGCAGCGTCAACAAACTAGCAACTGTAACAGATCAAGCAGTTACACAACAGCTACCCCTCCTTTAATCCAGTGGGGTGGGGGGTTGTGCTGAGGGTGTTTGCATGCGGGCGAGCACACTGCCTACCAGGCGAGCACACTGCCTACCACTGAGCTGCAGCCCACTGTGCCTGTGTATTGGAAACTAGTGAAAATGGACCCGTAGGCAAGGGAGCCAGTCGAGAACCTTTTGTGGCTTTCCTTCTCTCCCCAGAGACTTGTTTTTGTCTTGTTTTAACTAAGGAATGGTAAGTTTTTGTTCTCTTTTCATTTTCAATTTGTAGTCCCTTCTAAGAGTGTGCTTTTCTGGGATCACAAATTACACTTCAACGTGTACAGTAACACACTTATGTCAGGGAAATTATGTTTTGCTCTTTGCACTTTAATTTTTATCTTCGCAACGTCATGGGCTCATGTGTATTATCCTTAATACCCTGCGGGCGCAATCCTCTGTGACTCTCTTTTTATCATATAATTAGACATAACTGACTTTTTTTCCTAACTTATTGTTGAATTAGTTATTTTCCTGTCACTGTGATAGGAAACCATGACAGAAAGCACTTGGGGAAAAAGAGTCTATACTTTTCTCACAGTTGCACGGGGAGAGAGCTCGTCATAGTGGAAAAGGCATGGCAGCAAGAGCTGGGGGCTGGCCTGCCATCCCGAAGGGGAGAGTGAGGGCTGGGAGGGAAAGTTCCCTCCTTCCCGTGCAGCCCCTCTAGCAAGGCCCCACCGCACTGACCTGTCCGTCTTTACTGATAGAGTGAATCGGCAGGGATCCAACGGGCACAGATCCAGAAAGAACTTTGGAGAATTCAAGATGTCATGGAGGGGCTGAGCAAACACAAACAGCAAAGAGGCTCCTCAGAAACAGGTGGGTCAGCTGTGAGCGTGCGTGTGTGCATGTGTGCGTGCGTGCGTGCGTGTGTGTGTGTGTGCGCGTGCGTGCATGTGTGTGTGTGTGTGTGTGTGTGTGTGTGTGTGTGCTCGAGTGCGTGCATGCTCATCTAACTGGAAAGACATGGCCAAATCTGTCATCTTAACAGAGTTTGTGCTCGGAAAACAGTCACTCTGTGCCATTGAATGGGTACATAAGTTAATAAACTAGAGGCAGTAGTTTTGGCAGCCACAGCCTTGTCGTGTGTATGTGATACTGACTTGTTCAGCTTTAGCAACAGGGAAGGTGATCCAACACCTCTTTTTCCTCTTGCTCTCTACCTTTCTAAGACTTTTATTTACTCTGAACGTTTCACGCATGTACACGGAGTATCTTGAGCATACTCCCCAGCTCCCCTCACAACTGTCCACACCACCTTCGTGTCTTTTCTTGTTTCCAGCCGCTGGGTCCAGTGTCTGCTGCTGTTGGTGTGCTGACTGCTCTCGTTGGCTCCCCCCTCAATGTGATCATAGCTGCCTGTGACATTGTACTCATTAACTGTGCTTTATCCTTTTCCATACTGGTGAACACGTGCAATTTCTGGAGTACTATTGGTACTGTCTGTAAGTCCTTCTGTTAACAGGCATCATCAGGCATGCAACAGAACATACTTGGTGGTACCCACTGGGTTCCACAGTGTGAAAAATTAGTGCACACCCCATTCTAAAGGATTGTTCTTCTCAAAGAGCACTGTCTATACCAACAATGCTTGAGGGAACCTAGCTTCACATGTCCTTTCTTTTCTGTTTTTAAGATTTTGTTTATATATTTATGTTTGTCTGTGTAACTTACATCCATGGAAGCCAGAAGGAGGCACCAGATCCCCCAGAACTGGAGTTTTACAGAAGGGGTCTGGGAATCCAGCAGTGCTCTTGACCAGTGAGCTGTCTCTCCAGCCCCACATACCATTTCTTACCATTAATGTTTAGAGCAGGTGTTGGCAGTACACACCTTTAATCCCAGCACCCAGGAGGCATAAGCAGGCAGATCTCTGTGGATTTGAAGCCAGCCTGGTCGACAAAGAGAAAGTTCCTGGACAGCTAGTGCTACAGAGAAACCCTGTGTCTAAAAACCAAAAAGGAAAAAAGAAACGAAAGAAATTGAAGGCTAACATCCATAATCCTAGCCCCAGGGAAGCTGAGGTCAGGGTATTGCATTGAGTTTGAGGCCAGCCTAAGTTAGTGGCAGGTAAGCTTACGCTCAGTAGCAAAACCCTGGGGGACAGGGGCAAGAATGTGAAGACCTCACATAAGTAAGTGAAGCCAGGCCGGTGAGGTGGTGCAGCAGGTAAGGACACTGGCTGCCAGGCCTGGAGGCGGGGCGAAGGGACAGAGCCCACTTCCGAAAGTCGTCCTCTGACTTCCGCAGGTGCATCCTGACACACGTGTGCACACACGCACACAAAATAAATACATTTGAGTTAACATTTTCAAACAAAGTAAGCCACCCGAGATGATTGTTCTTGTGGGTTTAGAAAGGTGTTCTGAGTGTAAGTAGTTACGTTTTCTAATTTCTCCAGTAGGTCTGGCAGGATCAAAGCCTTTCTCAGCGGTTAAGTACAGAAGCGAGGTAAGTTTGGTTTGTTTTTCTTGCTGGCTGTAAATGTTAACAAGTGAAATTAAAACAGTTTAAGTCTTCTCTATTCAAGAAATAAATATTTTTTAGCCTGCCTGGGGTGGTGGTGCATACCTGTAACCCTAGTACTCGGGAGGTTGAGGCAGGAGGATGGCTTATTTGCGGCCAGCCTGGGCTGTGTAGCATGACTCTGTCTCAGGAAGAAGAAGAAGAAAAAAATAGAAACGTCTTCTAAGTATATTTAGGTCATGTTAATCTTGAAATGTTACTGACTTAGTATTTTGGTGTCGTAGTAATTTGTAACATGATTTTTCTTCCTTAAATGCAAAAATCAAATTAGTGACTGCTTTTCATCTATTAGAGCTTTAACATCATTGTGCCTTTTCTGAGTAATGTGAATATCTATCATGGCTTCTTATATTTGATGACGTTTATGTGATGGTTGGTAGATAAAGTTGGCTTGGTCATGCATGCCATAGAGAAATTATAACAACAAAGAGATACTGTCAACCTAACCGAAAAAAGTCTGGTCTTGAGTGTTGTTTAAAGAGTCAAAAAGAAATTCTTTTCTTTTTTTTTTCTCTCAAAATCATCAAAAATATATAATAGTAAGATTTTTTTTTTTAGCCAGCTTTTTTCCTCCTGATGTTGCAGTGAAGTACAGTAATTTCATAGCAATTTGTCTGGGTGGGTAAAGCTACCCTGTAAGTGTAGGAGAAAGGACTTAAAACCCCATTATTTTCTACCATGTAAAATTGCTTTGGTGTTTCAATGTGAGACTTTTGGCTTGGCAGTGTCCCTTTAATTATGTTAAAGTAACTTTAAGTTAATGAAAACAGTTTAGAAATGCTTAATCCAATCTGCTTGTCTAAATAAGGTGACTATTCTACAATCTTTAGGAAGAGGAAGTAGTCCCACCTCGGCCTCCACTTCCTCGGTCTTATGACTTTACAGAGCAGCCTCCCATAATCCCCCCTCTGCCCAGTGATAGCAGCTCCTTGCTCTGTTATAGCAGGGGCCCCGTGCATCTGCCTGAAGAAAAGAAGATGCATCAAGTTCAAGGATATCCAAGAAATGGATCTCACTGTGTAAGTGGCTGGGCCAGCCACAAAGTGACTTTCCATACCCACTCACTTTTGAAGATTAGTTTATTTCATACTCCAGCTTGTTTTTGCTATAACTCCATTTTTTGAGCTCGTGCTTTTTCGTTTGCATATAGCATTACCCTTTGTTTTTCCAGTTGACATTTTATCATTCTGCTTTTTCATATTCTCATAATTTTAATATTTCATTATTCATAAATTGGTTACTTTGCACATTCTGATCAGCCCATAGTTTAAACTTGCCACTTCAGAGTGTTGGGGGCGAACAGAGCGTTCAGATCAGAAAAATAGCAGCGCGAGTGGGGCGTGGGCAGTGCAGGAAACCATGCAAGGATGTAGCAAAGAGCAGGGCTCGCTGGGATTGAAAACGAGGGCTTCTGTGAGCTAAACTGTGAGATCAAGTCCAGCCTCAGCAAGACCCCCGTCTCCAAAGGAAAAACAAGAAAAATGGAACTTAGATAATTGTGAGAAATACAAAGTATTCTCTGCCAGGACTTTAGTTTGGGATAAACCTTACTGAGACTTACTCCTAAATGAAAACGTATGATTGTATGATTATTTTTAGACCTTAGCTTGACCATGGTAAAAATGTGGCTTTAGGCCAGGGATGCTGGCACCTATCTGTCATCGCCTCTCTCAGAGAGACAGGTGCAGGAGAGTAATGACCAAACCCACCAACCTTGTCTCTATGAGACTGGCCTCCAAAGGATGTCTTTGGTAATAAAGTCCATGCAGGAACTAGGTTGGCTCAGGGTTAAGAACACCTGCTGCCCTACAGATGACCCCAGGTTTGGTTCTCTGTACCCACACAGCGATGCACAACACCTAGAATGGCAGTTCCAGGAATCCAGCGCATTTCCATGGTGTTCCTAGAATCATGCAGCCAAAGCACTAATATACGTAAAATAAATAAGTCTTTAGAGTGCAAGGCCCTTGGTTCAATCCCTGTGCACAGAAGAAAACAGACTTTGTCCCTGGGAATACTCTGAAATTCAAAATAGGAAATTTTATTAACTAAAAATCTTCCTAAGAGGAAAAAATAAACTTTGAATTATTCCTCCTACTGAGTTTTCATGTAACGTATATGTGTTATATATATTATCACAGTTGGACCCAGGACCTTGCACATGCTAGGCTGCTAGCAGTGAGCCTCCTTCCTAGTTGAGGTGCACAGTGCACAGGGAACGTGTAGCTTTTGTTGTTGCAATCACATGTCTTCCATTCAAGGGTCCAGATTATAGACTGTACAAGAGTGAACCAGAGTTGACCACAGTGGCAGAAGTTGATGAATCTAACGGAGAAGAAAAGTCGGAACCGGCTTCTGAGACGGAAGCTCCAGTTGTCAAAGGTCAGTGTTCCGTATTGTATCGCCCTCTGTGTTACTTTGTTCTCAGATACAGTGTTCTATATTGTATCGCCCTCTGTGTTACTTTGTTCTCAGATACAGTGTTCCCTATTGTATCGCCCTCTGGGTTACTTTGTTCTCAGATACAGTGTTCCGTTTTGTATCGCCCTCTGTGTTACTTTGTTCTCAGATACTGTGGTGTACGTTTGTGCCCAGTACATTAGTCCACACTCTCACATCCGAAATCTTTGGGATCTCTGTTTCCCAATTAAAACATGTTTTGAGCCTGTGTGAGTTAGAGGTCAGTGTGGTCTACGTGGTGAACTCGAGGTCAGCCTCGACCCTGTCTTGGAGAAGGAGGGAAAGAGGGATGGAGGGAGGGAGGGAAGGGAGGAAGGAAAGAAAGAAAGACATGCTTTGACCCAGACATGCTAACACACACCTACAGGAGGATTGCTATGAGTTTGTGACCAACTAGGGCTACTTAGCATGACTTTGTCTCAAAAAAGTAAAGGGGACAGAGAATTTGCTCAGTGCTTAAGAGCACTCATAGGTGTTGAAGATCTGGGTTCAACTCTCAACACCTACATGGCAGCTCACGTGTAGTAATATATTAAGTCAAGCTTTAATAAATCATGAATAATAGATCACTATACTCACACCATCTGTAACTCCAGTTCCAGGGGATTCAAACTCTCTTCAGACTTCTAATGGTGCCAGGCACACACATGGTACACATACAAACATATACATTAAATCAATAAGTCTAAAAAGATGTATTTCTAAAGAAATTGAAATAAAGTAAGAAGAACCAGAAACGTTTAGGCAAAAGAGTCACTATTGGGCATGTTGTAATGGCTCAGTGATTAAGAGTGCTTGCTGTTCTCCAGAGGACCTGAGTTCGGTACCCAGCACCCACATCAAGCAACTCACAACCACCTGTAATTCCAGCTCCAGGAGATTCCAACATCCTCTTCTGGCCTCCAAGAGCACTGGCAAGTGCACATGTGTGTGTGCACGCATGTGCGTGTGTACGTGCACACTCAAGCCACAGCAAACAACTTTGTCTTGTCCAGCTGATTGACAGGCCATTAGGATTGCTTCTTACAGGGAGGGCGGCCATATGCCATGCATAGTTCTTTACCAGAGAGCCTATGACCACATTTAGATTTAGGTGGTGGTGTTGGAGACTTTCTACGCAGGATGTCGTACCTCTGCCTGAGTCTTCATTCTCAGGCCAATAATCATGGCCCTGCGGTTGCAGTTTTTGCTTTTACCAGCTGCTGCTTAGGAGGGCGGCTCATGCGCATGTAGACATATCACAAAAGTACCCTTTCGCTCTTCCTCCCCCCCTCCCCCCCAGTGCTGGGGCTGGAATCCAGGATATCAGGCGTGCTATGCAAGACTGTTCCACTCCGGATCTTCACCAAACTCTGGTCTCATTTGAAGACGTTTGATGGGCTTTTGCATGAAGGAAATCAGAAGTATCAAACTGCATTATAACACACAGTTTTTCTTTCTTTTGTTTTAATGTTTTCTGTTGTGTGCATCCGTGCATGCATGTCAAGGCTTGTGTCTGAAGGTCAGAGAACAACCTTGGATGCTGATCCTCACTTTAGGGACAAAGTCTCTTGGTTTTCTCTTTGTTTCTTTGTCTGTTTGTTTGTTTTTTCTGCTGTGTGTGCAAGGCTCATTGGTCCGGGAGTGTCTGGGGAATTCCCTTGCGTTGGCCCCTCATCTCTGCACAGAAGTGCTGAGATTACAGCTGTGCACATGGCATCCGGCATGTGTACCTCTTGTGGAGGTCACAGGACAACTTTGTAGAATCAGTTCATTCCTTCAACTTCTCTGTGGGTTCCAGGGATTGAGGTCAGGTCACCAGGTTTGCACAGCAAGCACTTTTATCCTGAACTATGTGCCCTCCTGCCCCTCCTTTTCTTTGACATAGAGTTTCAGTCTAGCCCAGGTGGCCTGGGATTCAAATGGAGCTGGCCACCCCCTCTTTTTCTGCTGCAGGCATTTATTTTGCCGCAGGGAGAGTGATGGCTTTTTTCTGCAAACCCTCAAACCTTTGCTTTGTCACCACTTTGAGATCCCTGTCTGTTGATAAGGAAACAGTAGGCGGGTTAGAGTTCTGCAGAGTTTGCTGTGGACAGGGGCTGAGAGAGAGATGTTCCCGGTAGTCAGGTCTCACTGCCGCTCTGCAGCGGTGGCGGAAGCTGGAATAGGGTAGAAGCAGCTGCTGGCGACCCCTGAGTGTGCGGGTTAGTGAGTGCTGAACGGGCATCTGACCTTGAGACAGGAGGGGAGGCCCTGCGTCCTGGCCTCCACAGCCCAGGAGTTCAGCAGCCTGGGCAAGGTGCTGGGGGATGGGTCGCACGGCTGCTGCTGTCTGCAGGACAGCACCTGTGGGTGGCCTCTGCATGATCTGCATGTGGACTTTGCAGCCCTGTGGTTTTCCCTCAGATGCGGTTGGTTTTCACACTTGCAGAGACAGACACACTAGAATTGTCACTAAGGTGCTTGGCTTTGGTCTTGAACACCTCACTGCCTTGTCGTCCTCAGCTTCTCTTGCTCCCTGTCCTCTTCCTGGGGACTGCCTCACCTTTCCAGCCCCTGGAATGGGCTCAAATTCACATTGCACCAGGTCTGCGCCAGGCTGGCCTTCGTGTGGATTGGAAATGCTAGGATGAATTACGCTTCGTTTTATTTTGCTCTTGTTTGGATCTGGCAGTACTGGATGGGACCTCAGGCAGGCTTGGCAGGTACTTTACTGAGCTTATTCCCATGTGTGATCCAGGCGTCCCCGGAGCCCAGGGGAATCAGATTCCTCTGGAACTGGAGTTACAGGTGGTTGTGAGCCATCTGATACACGTGCAGGGATGATGCTAATCATCCCACTTACATTCCTAGAATAAACCCCAGTTACAGTGCTGTTGGCAACAAACACATCTCTCGTTCCCACATTAAGATTCCTTTATTCTGGACCACACGTATGTGACACACATGGAGGAACACACATTCAGGTTACTGCTCTGTCAGAGAACCTGAGTTTGGTTCCCAGCACCCATGCCAAGCAACTCGCCATCACCCATAACTTCAGAGGCAAGGGATCTGATGCCTCTGGTCTCCATGAAACTCACCTGAACTCACACAGACACGCACAGTTAAAAGTATAATGAATTAATATTTTTAGGATGTATTTTTCTTTATGTTTTCATGAATGTATGTCTCATACACGTGGGTGCCCTCGGAGATCAAAATAAGAGGTGGCGTCCCTTACAGCTGTCCATGCCGGCGGTTATGAGCTGCCTGGCTCAAGGCTGAGAACCAAACTCTAGTCCTCCATAGCAACAGCACACACTCTTCGCTGCTGGGCCAGCTCTCCAGCCCCAGCCTTTGCAAGTGGCAGATCTGTCCGATTGTGCACCCGGAGCTGGTGTGGTCTGGTGTCAGGCAGAGCTCTGTTTGTGGATTAGACGCAGTCCCAACCCAGCAGAAACCCATAAACCACAAAAGCCTAGTGAAGTGCTTCAGAAGGACACCGTGCCGTGTGACAAGGGCTCTGTGGGGCTTACACTGCCTTCTCTTTCAGGTTCCCACTTTCCCGTTGGAGTTCCTGTGAGAACGAAGTCGCCCACGCCCGAGTCCTCGACAATAGCTTCCTACGTGACCTTGAGGAAGACGAAGAAGGTGGAGCTAAGAACGGTACAGAGATGAGCACCAGGCTCTGTCCTGCTGCTGCAAGCTGTCCGTTTGCAGACCTCTGTTAGAAACATCGCCCTCCTTAGATTTCTCCACAGTTAGAACGTCAGCACCTCAGGGCACAGCCCACCAGCCCCAGCATAAGTCTTAGTCCACAGGGTGGCTATACAGTGAGACCCTGTCCTTAAAAAAAAAACAAAAAACATAACGCAAGCATGGTGGTACCTGCTTGTAATCCTACCTTCTCGGGAGTCGGCAGTGTGCCTTGAGTTTGAGGCCAGCCTGGACTACCTAAGACCCTGTCTCAAAATCCCCTCCCCTAAAATAGAAAGAATTGTGAGAGAAAACTAACAGCTATGCATCAGTATTAATGTGGTGGCCGTGGTGCTGAAATACAGGGTTAGAGGTAGTATTTCTGTAGTTTCATTGTCAACTATAAATATTTTAGGGTGCCTCAAATGTAAAACACTCCTGCTTCTGCTTTCTGTACGTGTGTGTGTGTGTGTGTGTGTGTGTGAGTGTGTGTGTGTGTGTGTGTTGGGTATAAACGTGTGTGCGTGCTTGCATGCATGTAGAGGCCAGAGATCCAGACTCGGTCCTCATGCTTGCACAGATGCTCACACATCAGGCACCACCTCTCCGCCATAGAACCATCTTTTCAAAGTAGCATTGGAGTTTAATAAGATAGTTTTATGTTTTGGAGTTTTTTATGGTTTTTGTTTTTCTTTTTTTTTATGACAGGGTTTCTCTGTGTAGCCCTGGCTGACCTGGAACTAGTTCTATAGACCAGGCTGGCCCCAAACTCAGAGATCCACCTGTTTCTACCTCCCATGTGCTGGGATTCCACCACCGCCCAGGTTCAGTGGGGTTAGTAAAATGGTTTGTCAATTTGGAGCTTGCGGGTTGAGAGATGGAAGCACTCAGAGGGAAAGACGGCGATGGCTGAGCTTAGGCTCTAGGATAGTCGCCCTGTGGGTGTCTCAGCTGTGGGTTACAGTGGGGTGAGGTGATTTGTGCAGTGCTGAGACCCGAGCCCTGGGCCTGTGCAGCGAGGCCAGCACTGCCACAGGCCGTGTCCCAATCCTGCTGTTTGTTGCTGCTGGTTTTCTTTTGGTTTCCTATATCTCAGGTAGCTGAGTGAGGCTGGCCTCAGACTCCCGAGTGCTGGATGATATGCCTCAACCGTGTCTTTTAATTTTAAACCAAGACAGCAGGACCCTGTCTGCGTTCTTCTATCTGTTTCTGTATTCGTAGCCCCCGTCTCATTCCCTCCGTCACTGCCCATGTCAGGACCAGGCAGTCACTTAAGGTGCCCTCTGATGTCCCCTATGAACATTCACATCTCCACTTCTGACTTCTTTTTTTTTTTTTTTGGTTTTTCGAGACAGGGTTTCTCTGTGGCTTTGGAGGCTGTCCTGGAACTCGCTCTGTAGACCAGGCTGGCCTCGAACTCACAGAGATCCTCCTGCCTCTGCCTCCCGAGTGCTGGGATTAAAGGCGTGCGCCACCAACGCCCGGCTTCCACTTCTGACTTCTGAAAGTAAAAATAAGTAACTGTACAGATAAAAATCTTTCCTTCATGATGTTTTTCAGAAGTGTTTGTTTTTGAGATGGCTTCTCCTATAAGCCAGTCTTGCTTTGAGGTCTGAGAAGCAGAGGATGACTTGCTCCTTCTGAGTCTTCCCATCACTGGGCTGGGTTTAGGAACAGGGAATCCAATTCATGGCCTAACACGTGCTGTGCAAGCACTGTACCAACTGAAGGACATCTCCTGCATGCGTGCGTGGGTGAGTGAGTGCGTGAGTGCCTGCGTGCATGCATGAGTGAGTGAGTGTGTGAGTGCCTGTGTGAGTGTGTGAGTGCCTGCGTGAGTGAGTGAGTGAGTGTGTACGTAAGTGTGTAAGTGAGTGTGTGCGTGCATGTGTGAGTGTTGAGTGTGTGAGTGTGTGTATGCATGAGCGTTATCTATGCGTGTGTGCATGATGTGTGCATTCACAGACTTATTTTTGTCTTAAGGAAAGACCTAGAAGTGCAGTGGAGCAGCTCTGTCTGGCTGAAAGTACTCGGCCTAGGATGACCGTGGAAGAGCAAATGGAGAGAATACGGAGACACCAGCAGGCCTGCCTGAGGGAGAAGAAGAGGGGGCTGAATGTCATCAGTGCTTCAGACCAGTCCCCCTTCCAAAGTCCTTCGAGTGTGAGGGATAACCCTTTGAGGGTTACTCAGGTATGCTGACTTCTGATCGAATTGCTTCTGGTTATTCTTATATATTCGTCCTTTCTAGTTGTTCATTAAGAAAAACGACTTACTTAGTCTGCTGCAAAGGAAGGAGCCAGCCTGGCAGTAACAGAGGCACACTGGCCATTTTCCTGTTGTTCTGGCTAATTAAGTAGTCATCAGGAAACTACATCCCTTGAACTCATTCTGTAGTCTAAGTAGGCCCTTATCTCCCCTCTAGCCAAGATTACAAACTTTTATCACAGGACCTGGCTAAGGTCATAGGAAAAGCTGGTGGCAGATTTATCTTTGAGCCATCAGCTCACAAAAGATGACAGAGACTTACTGTTAATTATGAAAGCTCGGCCCATAGCTTAGCTTGTCCGTCTAGTCTTACAACGTAAAGTAACCCATTTCTATTAAGCTGTGTTCTCTCCCATGGCTTCTCACCTCTCTTCCCTCTTGTACTTCCTGTTTCCTCTCTGTGTCGTATGGTGACTCTCCCTCAGCTAGATTCACATCTCTGTCTCTGTCTCTGTCTGTCTGTCTCCTTCCCTCCCTCCCTCCCTCCCCCCCCCCCTCTCTCTCTCTCCCAGAAGTCCCACCTTACCTCTTCCTGTCTAGCTATTGACCACTTAGCTCTTCAGTAAACCAATCAGAAGGTGCCGGCAAAGACACTTGTTTACAGCGTATGAAGATTATTCCATACCACTCACCTTTATTTATTTGTGCATGTGTGTATCTGTGTGGGTGTGCATACCACAGCACACACGGAGAGGACAACCTGCAGGAGTTGGTTGTCTCTCTCCAGCTGGGCTGCAGGGACTGAACTCGGGCTGTCAGGCTTGGCAGCTAGCTCCCGTACCCACTGAGCCATTTCTGGCTAGTTTCTCTTTGATCCCTGGTATTTGCATTGAGACTGAGATGTGTAACTGTGACTGTCTTGGAACCCTATGTAGCCCAGGCTGGACTCCAAGCTTTAGCAGTCCTCCTCCCTCTGCTCCCAAGTGTTAGGGTTACAGGCATAAGCCACCCCACCTACCCTCTTTATGTTTTCCCTTGTTTTTAGTCAGGGGTGGCAGGGATACACAAGTCTCTCCCCAAATAACTCAAAATGACTTTGAGCCCCCTGTCTGTTGCCCCTATTTTAAACTCTGCTAGCATCCACTCTTAAAAAGAAAAGTTTATTTTCAGACAGAGTCTCGATAATTGTCCATGTGCCCTTGATCTGACCCTGCAGCCTGCAGAGGGGCTGGGTCCCAAGCAGGCACCATCATGACCGCTTCAGCTGAGTTTTACAGACATAGACTTAGATTTTTGATAGGTTTTAATAGTTCTACCATAGAGATAGCTGTTTTATATTATTACAATAATAAGCTGTTGTGGCTTATTAAAATGAAGATAGCCCTGAACTCAAGAGAGGAAAGCCGATGGGTAGTGGTGTCATGCCTTTAATCCCAGTACTTGGGGGGGCAGAGAGGTGGATCTCTGTGAGTTCAAGGCCAGCCTAGTCTGCAAAGCAAGTTCCAGGACAGCCAGGGCTACACAGAGAAACCCTGTGTCAAAAACACAAAAGAGGGAGGGGTGGGAGCCAGCATAGTTAGTGGTTGCACTGCGGCTCTACTCTTTCAGCTGTAAGCTGATGATATAACATGACCTGTTTGCCTCAGAGAGTTACCTTGCAGAGTTCCCAACAAATGAAAAATGCCACGCAGGACGGGCCCTGTCCTAGCTGACTTTTCAGTGTGGTAAACACCAGAACCAATGACAACCTCGGGGGAAAAGGGTTTGCTTGGCTTGCAGTCCATCATTGAGGAGAGCCATGGCAGGAATTGAGGGCAAGGCCTTGAAGTATAAACCATAGGGGGCAGGGGGCAGGCTAGAGAAATGGTCAGAGGCTAAGAGCATTAACTATTCGTCCAGGGGTGCTGAGTTCAATTCCCAGCAACCACATGGTGGCTCACAACCATGTGTAGTAAGAACTGGTGCCCTCTTCTGGTGTGCAGGCCAACATGCAGACAGAACACTGTATACATAATAATTATAATAAGGAGGGAGGAAAGAAGCCATGGGAGATGGTGCCTGCTGGTTTGCTCTCCCTAGCTTCTGCTCAGGGAGAGTGTCTTGTACAACTCAGGACCCCAATACCTGGGGGTGGCCCTACCTGCAGTGGGCTAGACACTCCTGTGTCAGCTAGCAATGAAGAAAATGATCCAGGAGCCAGTCTGATGGAGGCGGTTCCTCAACTGAGATACCTTCAGATACCTCTAGGCTCTGTCAGGTTGACAGCTGAGATTAGCTTGCAAGTGAGTGCCGTAGGATGCCCTGGATCTAAACCCCAGCACTACCAAGCTGTCTGTCTGCACCATGACTTAACAAAATCTATCTTGTAGCAAGAAAGGTTGTCCTTATTCTGCCACCTTGCACTTGTCAGCCTCAGCAGTGGGGACAGTCACCATCCATCTGTGTCAGTTGTCCATTGCCCGTGCTCCCTGGGTGACGTGTACCACCGTGCGGAGCCTGAGACATGGCTGCAAGGCTCCCTTGCCTAGTCCACCTCTTCTTCCATCCAGTAAGAGCAGACTGCTCGAAGGCATTAGACTCTGACAGCCGACCATGGCACACTTTACAAGGTGTAAAATGGGTGATTTTAAAAGAAAGGGAAGGAGAAAAATATACATTCCCTTAATTGATCTTTTTTATTTTAGAAAATTTCCTTGTAAAACTCTGGTTTATTTTCCCAATTAATGCCTGTTATCTGTAAAGCATACACAGGTGCACAGTACCAGTGTAAAGATGCTTTAGGAACCAAACAGGAGGAAAGCCGGGTGTGGTAGTGCAATCCAGTAATCCCAGCACTTAGGAGACTGAATCCAGGGAATGCCTTGCGTTGAGTTAAGCTGGAGGACAGTCTGGACTGACTAATGACACCCTTCTCAAAACAAGCTAGGGTGTTAGTGGCCCACGCCTTTAGTCCCAGTACTTGGGAGGCAGAGGGAGGCAGGCAGATCTCTGTGAGTTCAAGGCCAGTCTGCTCTGCAGAATGAGTTCCAGGACAGGCTCCAAACCAAAGCTACAGAGAAACCCTGTCTCAAAAAGCAAAAAAAACAAACCAAAAAAAAGTACTGAGCCAGGTAATGGTGGCATATGCTTTTAACCCCAGCATTTGGGGGGGTAAAGGCAGGTGGATCTCTGATCTCTGAGTTCCAGGACGTCAAGGGCTACACATAGAAACCTTGTCAAAAAAAAAAAAAAAAAACAGTTCTTGAAAGATGGCTCTTCTGTCATGTGGGCACTCATACATAAAATATAAATAAATGAAATTTAAAAACAGAAACAAGGAAGCAGGAATACAGCAGAGATGGGTCAGAGGTTAAGAGAACTGCTGTTCTTCCTGAAATCCCAGGTTCAGTACCCAGCACCTACATCACACAGTTCACAACCACCTGTAACTCCAGTTCCAGAGGATCCAACACCTCTTCTGGTTCCACAGGACACATAAATAATAAAAACAGAGCTAGGCAGTACTAGCAGAGGATCACAGTTTCCCCACCAACCTGGGCTACATAGCAAATCCATCTATAATCCTACCCTCTCATGAAGCCAAGGCAAGAGACTCACTACAAATTCTGGCCAGCCTGAGCTACGTAGTGAGTTGTGGGCCAGCCTGGAATGAGACCCTGACTCAAAGCAAAACCAGAAAAGGTAGGTACATGAATAAAAATGTCATCTGTCTTTTGGGCAGACTCTAAGGAGGGATGAAAGTGTTAAGGAACTAGACCCCATCCACAGAGAAAATGACGGAAAGCCAGACCATGAAACCCCAGCAGCAGAAGCCGTTCTACTGGAAGACGCTGGACCCCAGAAGGTGGACCTTGGCAGAAAGGTAGAAGTGGCAGCTATGGCAGGGTGGTGGGGCGCTTGGAAGATGAGACCAGGGGAGCTGAGGAGGGCTTTCAGTGAGAGAGCTCTAAATCTCAGTGAGATGATAAATCTTCTTTAATTTGATTGATGGATTCAGTGCATAAAAATACCACCCGATGGCTACCTCAGCAAAGTGTATCATCTCTTTGTATAAATGACTTCATGCATTCTAACAGGAAATAATGTTAATATTCTTAATATACTTAAATGAAGACTTATTCACAAGTATTTGTGGTAGTGTATAATCAGTGTGATCATTTCACCTTTACTGGCATGAAATATAACAAGAATGCTCTGAAAAGCTCTTTTTCTTACTTTGCAGCTTAAAAGAACTGAAAGTATTTTTTATGAAATGCTCTTCACACCTGAGCCAAATGGGATGATTTCTGAAGGAGTCATGGATGCAGAAAAGCATAAAGATCAGGCACTGGAAGATGTTCCGTGCAGGTAAGAGCTAAAGAAGAAAGGAGTCGACTCTTCAGAAAAACCGTGGGGCTCTTTCTTATGATTTGTTTATTTTTATATGTGAGTGTTTTGCCTGAATTGTATGTATGGACACCATGTATGTATAGTGCCCACCAACGCCGGTACTGGATTTAACAGATGATTGTGACAGACCCCATGTTCTCTGCAAGATCAGCCAGTGCTGATACTGCTAAGCCACCTCCGAGCTCCGCTGTGTGATTCTCTAGTAACAGGGAGCTAAGCTAGGTGCAGCTGTGCTCAGCACTCAGGAGGCAGAGGCAGAGGCAGGTGGATCTCTGAGTTCGAGCCCAGACTGGTCACAGAGTGAGTTCCAGGACAACCAGGGTTACACAGGGAACCTGTCTCAAAAACAAAACAAATGCCTGGTCGGTGGTGGTGCATGCCTTTAATCCCAGCACTAGGAGGCAGAGGCAGACGGAACTCTGTGAGTTTAATACCAGCCTGGTCTGCAGAGCAAGTTCCAGCACAGCCAGAGTTATACAGAGAAATCCTGTCTCAAAAAAAAACAAAAACAAAGCTAGCTTCTGGATCCGAAGTGGACTTACAGGTCTAAAGAAATGAGTTAATTGTTTGCTTTACAAACACAAGGACATGTGTTCAGATCCCTTGTATGCACATAAAAACTAGGGCAGTGATGCACACCTGTGCCATGGAAAGCTGTGCAGAGACAGCGAGTCCCGGAAGCTCTTGCACCAGCCAGTGTAGTCAATGCAAGAGGTCTGGGTGCATTGAAGAGACCCCGGCTCAGAAAATGTAAGGGGGAGCAGCCGAGGAAGACACCACTACCCCTGACCTCCACACACCTGCATGTACACACAAATGTGCACATTCATGCACCACACACACACACACACACACATATACACATTAAGATGCTATCCGGTGAGGGCTGCAGAGATGGCTCAGTAGTTCAGAACACTGTCTGCTCTTCCAGAGGACCCAGGTTCAATTCCCAGCACCCACATAGCAGCTCACAACTGTCTATTCCTGTTCAGAGTCCCAGGGTACCCAACAACCAAGGCAAAACACCAGTGCACATAAAACAAAGTAAATAATTTTTTTTAAATGATGCTATCTGGCAACACAGTGAATACAGATCTTTCAGGATCCCAATCGAACAATCCTAACGTAGCATTATAAGAGATTCAGGAAAGTTTTGGAGTACAGACTCGATAAATAATGGTGTTAAAGTATTAAACATACATGCTAGGGGCTGGAGAGATGGCTCCACAGTTAATAGCACCAGCCACTCTTTATGAAGGACTCAGGTTGGATTCCCATAATGTACATGGTGGCTCGCAGCTGTTTTTAACTCCTCTTCCGGGGAAATCTGATGCCCTCTTGTGGGCACTGAGTGTACTGCACATGCATGTGGTGTGCAGACATATACAAAGATAAAATACTCATATACATAGAGTGAAAATTTAAAACAAAAATGTTGGTTTAGGGAGTGAGGGGTTCATCTGAGGTGTAGTTAGAAGACAGTGGTAGAGTGGGCAACTCCTAAGGCTGAATACACGGCCTTCGTAGATGATTTGCTCCGGTCTTTTTATAAGAAAGTAGCATTATTACGAGAAAAACATTCAGAGTTATTAAACATAGGTGGTGGCATCTCTTCTTTATGAGTGGTGTGTCTGCTTGTTAGGAGAGGGCCTGGGGCAGCCCAGGCTGGCCTCGCACTCCCTGTGAAATCAGGAGACCTTGGACTTGGGATCCCCCTGCCTCCACCCTCCATGTACTGGGATTGCAGGTGTGCACACACACACAGCTCCTGTGTGGTTAGTGTGCTGGTGCACACCTGTGTGGTTAGTGCGGTGCACACCTGTGTGGTTAGTGTGCTGGTTCACACCTGTGTGCTTAGTGTGCTGGTGCACACCTGTGTGGTTAGTGTGCTGGTGCACACCTGTGTGCTTAGTGCGGTTCACACCTGTGTGGTTAGTGTGCGGTGCACACCTGTGTGCTTAGTGTGCTGGTGCACACCTGTGTGGTTAGTGTGCTGGTGCACACCTGTGTGCTTAGTGTGCTGGTGCACACCTGTGTGGTTAGTGTGCTGGTGCACACCTGTGTGGTTAGTGTGCTGGTGCACACCTGTGTGTTTAGTGCAGTTCACACCTGTGTGCTTAGTGCGGTGCACACCTGTGTGGTTAGTGTGCTGGTGCACACCTGTGTGGTTAGTGTGCTGGTGCACACCTGTGTGGTTAGTGTGCTGGTGCACACCTGTGTGGTTAGTGTGCTGGTGCACACCTGTGTGGTTAGTGTGCTGGTGCATACCTGTGTGGTTAGTGCGGTGCACACCTGTGTGGTTAGTGTGCTGGTGCACACCTGTGTGGTTAGTGCGGTGCACACCTGTGTGGTTAGTGTGCTGGTGCACACCTGTGTGCTTAGTGCGGTTCACACCTGTGTGCTTAGTGTGCTGGTGCACACCTGTGTGCTTAGTGTGCTGGTGCACACCTGTGTGCTTAGTGTGCTGGTGCACACCTGTGTGGTTAGTGCGGTGCACACCTGTGTGGTTAGTGTGCTGGTGCACACCTGTGTGGTTAGTGCGGTTCACACCTGTGTGCTTAGTGTGCTGGTGCACACCTGTGTGCTTAGTGTGCTGGTGCACACCTGTGTGGTTAGTGTGCTGGTGCACACCTGTGTGGTTAGTGTGCGGTGCACACCTGTGGTCTCCACGTTTGGGAAGCCGAGTCAAGAGGATGGAATTCAAGAACAGCCTAGGCCACGTAGCCAGACCCCATCTCAGAAGAACAAAGGAGAAACCGGATGGTGTCCTGCAAGCTTTAAGGCTGGTCTATTCTCTTTAGCCCTCAGGGAGAGGCGGAGACAAACCATCAGGCGGAAGGTCACCCTGAAGAAGCACAGAGTCTTCGTGAAGAGGAGGAAACTGTTGCTGCTTTGGAACCACCTCCTGAGAGTCCTAGAGAGAATCAAACCACAGGTACATGCGCACCCCGTGCTCCCTCAGTGGGGGCCTCTACACAGGGAGTCCACCCGGGGTCTCACTGCAGCATCTTAGCTGCGGGAAGCGGCTTTGCCCTAGCATGAGCCTCCGGCGTGTGATTGCCCCGAGGAGGGCGCCTGTGTCCTGGCTCTGCCACCCAGGCTTGGGGCTCAGAGGATTCGTTTTCATTTTATCTTCAATTGTGACACAGTGAACCATTGCTAAAAAGATTGTAGAAGAGCCAGGCATGGAGACTCTCCTGCCATTCCTGTATTCCAAACGGTGCGACAGTCCAAGGCCAATCTTTGCTAACCTAGCACGACCTTGTCTCAAAGGCTGGAGAGTCGGCTCAGTGCTTAAGACCACACACTGCTCTTACACAGTTTCCTACCACATCTGATGCCTGAGTCTGAGCCTTGAGCGCCTGAGGTCATGTGCCCCCACTTACACAGACATTCACATTTGTTTGTTTATTTTTTCCAAGGCAGGGTTTCTCACTCTGTAGCTGAGGCTGGCCTCCAACTCACAGAGATCTGCCTGCCTCTGCCTCTGCCTTCCTATGGCTGGTTTTAACAGAGTTTGCCACCCACACCCAGCAACATAATTTAAAACAAAATCTTTTTTAAGCAGTGCCTTCCTACATGGAAATATTTCCTGCTCTCAGGCGATTCTTAGAAGCCACAACCTGATACTTTGGTTTTTTTTTTTTTTTTTTTTTTTTGGTTTTTCGAGACAGGGTTTCTCTGTGGCTTTGGAGGCTGTCCTGGAACTCGCTCTGTAGACCAGGCTGGCCTCGAACTCACAGAAATCCGCCTGCCTCTGCCTCCCGAGTGCTAGGATTAAAGGTGTGCGCCACCAACGCCAGGCTAACCTGATACTTTGTTACCTGATCCTAAAGTTACAGGGAGATGATCTTACTCTGGCCTGGCGAATGCCATCACTCACTCACACACACACACACACACACACACACACTCACACACACACACTCACACACACACACACACTCCGGGACTTCAGCGGGATAGTATCACACACACACACACACACACACACACACACACACACACACACACACACACACACACACACTCCGGGACTTCAGCGGGATAGTACCCCACCGTCCATAGCTAGCACATTAGAGTGGACGGCTGGGTGCTAACCTCTGTCACTCGCTGTTTGACTAGTGGTTCTGTGTGACGTGGGGTGAACCTTGACCTCCCCATGCAGGGTTTTCACCCCTGAGCTTGAGCCACAGCTTCCTCCCATTTTTTGAGCCCTTTTTCTTCTTTCTGGCAGGGTTTTGAGGGGTTGGAGTGGGTCAGGCACCATTTTAGCCTGTTTGCTGTGGTGACTGCTTCTTTGGGGGTGTAGGGGATGCATTCAAGACAGAGTTTCTCCATGTAGCCCTGGCTGTCCTGGGACTCGCTCTGTAGACCAGGCTGGCCTCGAAGTCAGGAAATCCACCTGCCTCTCCTTGCTGAGTGCTGGGACTCAGTGTGCACCACAGCACCTGGCCTCTTACATGTTTGCTGCTTATGCTCTGTGAGCTCAGTGTCACGCCAGGCTGATACCAGAGAGTACCAGCAGTGACCTGTGACTTCTGCTGATGGCACAGCGGTGAGCACAGGAATCTCACTGTGTCATCGACAGAAGCACCTTGTCGCTGTACAGTGTGGACAGAGTGCCTGCTGCATTTGATATCTCTTGGTATTTCTGGCAGACACCTGGGAACTGGCCTCAAAGCAAAAAAGGAAAGAGTGACCGGGCGTGGTGGCTCACACCTTTAGTCCCAGCGCTTTGGGAGGTGGGGGCAGGCAGATTTCGGAGTTCCAGACAGCCAAGTCTACACAGAGAAACCCTATCTCCAAAAAAACAAAAACAAAAAACAAAAGGAGGAAAAAGTCTGATCCCTCCCCAGCCTTTGGCAGCACAGTCTCTCCCTTTCCAGCCCTGTGGCATTGGGGAGATCCCAACATCAGTAGCAATTATCTGTAGTGTCTTAAAGATGTCAGCTTCTGGCCTCTGGACTGGAGAGGTGACTGAAGAAAGACACTTGCCACCAAGCCTGACCACTGGAAGTGGATTTCCAAGCTGTCTTCTGACCCCACAAGCATGCACACATGAATGCGCACACAATAAATATTAATTGGCGTTGTTCAAAACAGCTTGTGCATGTATGTATATATATATGTGTGTATATCATGTATATTTGTGTGTGTATACTTATCTTCTATTTTCTTGGTGTATTTTAGTGAAAAGTCTGTCCCCGTCTCCTGAGTCCTCCGCATCACCAGCTCCGCCCACTCCGCCAAAGCTCACAGAAGGATCGCATTTCATGTGTGTGTAGTCTCAGAAGTATGTCTTCTCCTTCTCTTTGGTACCTTGTCTTAGGAGTGTGTTACTTGAGTTGTACCATTTGCTGGAACAGCAGTGCGAGTGAATTAACTCAGGGCTGTGCATGGCCAGAGTGCCAGGCTGTGTATCTGAAGCCCGGACTGTAGTTCAGATTTCTCAGCTAGCCTTGGAGAGATTCTGAGTGCTTTTTCTCAGTCACTCAGTCTCCTCAAAGCCTGAGCTGTGCTCTGGGCTGGCATCCTGCCCACGCTCAGGGCTGAGGATGCGTCTGTAGTCACTTCATGCTCACAGGACCATGGTGGGCACTTAGTTTGGGCCTCCGCCTAGTTGAGTGAGCTCTGTGTGACCTGGGCTTTTCAGGGTGAAGGGATGCTGCAGGGTGAGGGTACAGACAGTGGTGGAGCGCTGAGATCCCATGGCTGGAGGCCGCTCTTTCCGTGCCCGTTAGGTGCCAGTTCTAGAATTGACGATAACTACCGGGCGGTGGTGGCGCACACCTTTACCACAGCACTCAAGACAGAGGCAGGTGGATGTCTGGGACTTTGAGGCCAGCCTGGTCTACAGAGTTCGAGAACAGCTAGAGCTATACAGAGAAACCCTGTCTCAGAAAAAAAAAAGTACTGAGAGTAACTTTCTGAGTCACTGCTTCCTTTGTTTTCGTGGTTTTTATTGTGGTCGTGTGACGTATGTGTTTGACACGCATGAATGTGCCACGGAGAACAACTTTGTGGAGTTGGTTCTGGGATTTGAACTTGGGTTGTCAGGTGTGGTGGTAGCACTGCTATCTCACTGACCCCCAGGACCTGCTCTTAAACAATGGAGGCAGCACCTACTTTACCCATAAGTCTGTGCTTAGGGTTTTCTCTTCCTGAAAAACTAGAGTGAGAGTTTGTATGCCCTTTCTGTTTTCTCGGCATCTGCCACCTCTTAAAGTGCTGGGAGCTTTTGAGTTATCATAAATTCCCAACAGTCATAAGTGGTAACACAAACAGTCAAAAAATCAGCAGGGCCTGCTGTCTGGAATCTGTCTTTACCCTCATTCTTGTAGTGACTCTTCTCTTTGTCCAGAAACATATGCATGATTGACTTTTATTTGAGGCTGTCTGAGTGGAGCCTAGAAGCTTGTGCGGGTTGTAGTTCAGCGTCTGAATGGGTTGAGAAGCTTGTGAGAGTCAGGAGTGCATCTGTGTCTTGCCTTTTCACTCATTCGACTTTTTTGATTGCTTTTAAGTGACACTGGTGACAGTAACCCTAGACAAGGGAAGAGTGAGCACGTGCATGCAGCCTAGTGGATGATGGCCTGTACTTAGTGAAGAGTGGACACTGAGAACCACTCATAGGGCCAGGTGCCCTATGATGATACGTGCTTTAATCCCAGCACCTGAGAGGCAGACACTGGTGGATCTCTGAGTTTGAGGCCAGACTGGTGTTTGCATAGTGAGTTCCAAGGGACCAAGGCTGCATGGTGAGACCCTGTCTCAAAACCAAAAACTGTCTAAAGGAGTTGGACATGTGGCTCAGTTGGTAGAGCACACACCTAACTGGCATGAAGAGTCTGGGTTCAGCTCCCAGCACCACAAAGAACCAGGCAAGATGGCTGTCTTAGTCAGTGTTCTATTTCTGTGAAGAGACACCATGACCATGGCAGCTCTTACAAAGGAAAGCATTTAATTGAGGTGTCAGCTTACAGGTCAGTGGTTCAGGCCATTGTCATCATGGAGGGGAACATGGCAGCACGGAGGCAGACACCGTGCTGGAGAAGGAGCTGTTACATCTTGAACCATAGGCAACAGGAAGTGAACTGAACTAGTGCAGCTTGAGCATAGGAGACCTCGAAGCTCACTCCCCTAGTAATACGATTCCTCCAGTAAGGCCACACCTACTCCAACAAAGCCACACCTCCTGATAGTGCTGCTCCCTTTGGGGGAGTATTGTCTTTCAAACCACCACAGTAGTACACACCAGTAATCCCAGCCCTTGGGAGGTAGAGGCAGGAGAATCAAACATTCAAAGTCATTCTTGCTTAAATGGTGAGTTCCAGGCCAGCCTGAGTTTCATGAAGCTCTGTATCAAAACAAAAAGGCATTCACATGAATTTTGGGCTTTCTAAACAGGCTATGACTTTTTTTTTTTTTCGAGAGAGAGAGGGTTTCTCTGTATTGTTTTGGAGGCTGTCCTGGAACTCTGTAGACCAGGCTGGTCTCAGACTCACAGAGATCCGCCTGCCTCTGCCTCCTGAGTGCTGGGATTAAAGGCGTGCGCCACCAACACCTGGCAACAGGCTGTATAACTTACGACATAATTACCATCTCTAACATAGGATGATTAGAGCTTGAGATTCACCAATTTGGTAACTTGTTCCTGGATTTTGTCTTTTAACTTTTATTCTAAGTGGCATTGGTCATTACATCCAGGCACGGATATCACCAGATATTTTCTTATCTCGTGTGATGTGGCCACCTCACACAAGCAGCTCATGGCACAGACACCGTCACTACTTACACTTTACCGTTGTGTGGATCGTGTTTTCCTGTATTTGTGCTTCTGGCGACTGTAGGAATCCACACAAATCACTGCTGTGGGTGTGGCCCAGGAAACTAGTTCATATTATAGTGAAATCAGGCAAAGCTGGCCTACTCTACTGACCCGTTCAGTGACAAACTCGAGACGGTTCTCTGAATCGCTGTGTAATTGCATCGTCACCCTTGCTCACATTCTCACCTGGACGTGAGGAAGTGAAGGAAGGGCCTTCTGTGTCTCACATTCTCACCTGGACGTGAGGAAGTGAAGGAAGGGCCCTTCTGTGTGCTCTGTGTTAGGGCCTTCCAGGCTGTGTCTGTAGCCTCCGTTGCTCTGCCTTACTTACTTTGGGACACTGCCATGCATTAGCTTTGCAGACATCGGAAGTAACTTCCCGTCTCTTCATTTGCAGCTGCACTGACGTCTCTTGAGAGCACACAGAGCTGAAGCTGTGGACCCTCAGCGACGGAAGAAGATGTTGTACAGTATACCTTAAATCTATGAAATTCATAGTTCTGATGCGTCTGGCCACAGAGCATCATTTTATCACCTTTGGAAAATGTTTATTCCAAAATAGCTTTAACGGCCCATACGTGCACTCCGTAGTCTCGAGGTCACCGTCCTCCACCAGCTTGCTGCTATGAGTTCAGAGCCCGCCGGCGCTCTCCCCCGCGCTCCACCGGCGCTCTCTCCTGCGATCCACCCAGAGCTTGCTTAGTTGCAGTTCTCAAATTTAGATGCTTGAGTCTCGGTGAGTTTACGTTTTCTTTGGCTTTTCGGCAGAGCTGTACTTCCCTGTGAGGCTTGTTTTCTTTCCTCCCTTCTCTTCCCATTCTGGCTACTGCAGTGCTTTGTTCGACACTTGATTTGTAAAAATTTTATATAAATATATTTAAAATGTGCCATTTTATTACTGCTAAGTGAAGTATGTCCCGTTTTCCGCTGTAATTCTTCCTCAGTCAGACGCAGCAGTGTCAGCTGTTCCTGCCACTCTCTGTCAGCTCCCACACAAATACCGTTGCTTAGCTTTCCTCAAAAAGCGAAACAATTACAAGTGTAGGTCTGTAAGTACTGGACTTTTACATCATTGGAATAGATGTGTACAGCAATAAGGCAGGCTTTTCGCTCCAGTACTCGGTTTGTGTACAGATGTAATTATGTTCATTGTGTAGATGTTATACAGTGAGCAATGTAATAAAGGCTGCTTACTATAGTTTAATGCAAATGTTCATATCTCATTTCTTTTTTATCATGTTAAATAAATGTTGATGTTCTTAAATTGCTTGTGTTAGACTCTTTTTCCCTCCCTCTCTCCCACCCCTGCCCCATCCAGGGTTTCACTGTGTAGCTCCGGCTTTGAGAGACAGCCAGCCTGCCTCTGCTTCCCAGGTGTTGGAATTCGAGGTGTGCACCTCCTCGTCTGGCTAGAATCTTTTTTCTTTCCATCTAAAATGGGGAATCTGAGACCTGGAATGTAGCCCAGAGGCAGAGTACTTTCCCAGCATGTGTGAGACCCTCTAATCAATTCCCAACCCCAGAAGAAGAAAAGGTGTGTGTGTGGGGGGGTGACCAGAGACCCAAGTGACTTCTAAAAGAAAAAATGGTGTATTAACCCCAGCTCCCTGGGCGGCACTATTAAAAGGCCTGTGTGTCCTGCCCTCCTGTGACAGTAGAGGAACCTGAGGCAGAGAAGATGGTGCTGACCATGGTCATACCCACTTCATGACACAGTGCAGACCACCATGTCATTGTTCTGACTTCCCATAAATCCCTCAGCTTGTCACCAATGGGCAGCGTTCGTTTTGAGAAGTCTCCTGCCCTGTTTCCCTGTCTCCAAACTGCAGTCCCCGTGTGCTTAGAGAGTGAACCTGGGAGGAGGGGCAGACAGGGCTGCTTCCCGCCATTGGGAACTGGACACTGTTTCTCCTGAGTGGGGCCCTCAGAGATGCTTTCTTTAGAATACATTCTTTGCAGATGTTCACGCTCTTCACAATCAATTACGTTTCCTTCCCCTCCAACCTTTTGTTCGCGCTATACATTGTTCCCAGAGTACAAGGAAATGGGATGCTTTCTGGATGGCGGTGCTGGTTAGCACTGGTCAAATCAGTCCCCACCCCACGATACACTAAAGAGGATTTAGCTTAATTCAAAACGCAGATAAATAAACGTGCATGCTCTTCGAAAGGAATCAAACAAAAATGTGCTTAGCTGGCGTCTGCGGGTCAGTGGAAACAAGTCAGGACAGTGTTGCAAGCTCGGCATTTGTAAACAGTATCTTTATGTGACACTGTGGCACCGTCAAACACAAGTCTCAGACTATGAAAAGTCTCAGACTATGTCCCGCCCCCTCCATAACATAAGAGAAGGTGGCTTTGTCCTGATGAGAGGCGGTTTGGTTTGGTTTGGTTTTCCTCCAAGGATTCTTTGGATTTCTTTAAGGGTTTAGGTTTGGGAAGGTCTCTTTTTCTTTTTTCTAAGATTTGATTAAGTGTATTTGTGTGTATTTGTACACACATCCCATCGAGGCTAGAGAGATCAGATCCCCCTGGAACTGAAGTTACAGGAAGTTGTGAGCTAATGTTAATCCCACTGGGCAAGAGTAAGACCACTACCACAATTTTGAGCCACATTGAAGGAAGCTCTAATTAATACTAGCCAGGAAGATGGACTTTGGCCAGGTCCATTTTGGGGTTCTCAGAAAAATGGCCATGAGCTAAGTTGGCCAGGTATTTATACAGACAAACCCATAAGGCTACTTCCCACCTACATCCAACCTGGGGCAAGCATACATCCTGGTGTATTTCCTGCCCACATAGCTCCCACCTACGTGTGATCAAGTGCATCTGTGCAATTAGGTCAACCAGACTGTATGGAGGTGAAAACATGGGGCTTGTTGTTGGACATGAACAGCAGTCTCCAGCACCTCGGGAAGTACCTGTCCTTGGGCAAGGGGCGTACAGGTCAGAGGCGTTTTTTGTTGTGTGGATCTTGTAGGCACAGTAAGGAAAACCTAAAACGTGGCTTTGGCTCTCACACTGCCTGACATGGGTGCGGATCGCTCAACTCAGATCCTCCAGAAGAGCAGTATACACCCTTAGTGGCTCACATCTCTCCAGACCCTGTTTACATGCTCTTACCTGTACATTTCCAAGTATGTGAACGTACTGTTGTTATTTTGCTTAAAATTAGAAATGAGAAGAAAGAAGGGGCGAAAAGGTGAAACACGAGAGCGAGCATGGAACCGGACAGGCGCAATACAGCACAAACCACGGAGAGCATGAGTCATAGTTTATTATATCGGCGGGAGAGCAAAAGGGACAGACGGATGGACGAATGGGGTAAAAGCAGAGCAGGAAAGAGAGGGGAAGAGGAGAGAGAGAGAGCGAAGAGAGTGAGAGAGAGCCTAAGTGGGCAGGGATCTGTCTTTTAAAGGGGTCCTTTGCACCTGCACGCAGACTGGTTCTCAGGGAACTCTGGGCTGACCAGAGTGCTGCCTGAGTGCATTCTGCCAGGTAACAGGGGCAGGCCAGTGTGATGCCTGAACCTTTCATGAATGTGCCCGTGGCCGGAAGGGCTTCTGATCACCTAAGGTAGTTTTTTGTTTTGTTTTGTTTTTGGTTTTTTTTTGTTTGTTTGTTTTTTTGTTTTTGTTTTTGTTTTTCGAGACAGGGTTTCTCTGTAGCTTTGGAGGCTGTCCTGGAACTCACTTTGTAGACCAGGCTGGCCTCGAACTCACAGAGATCCGCCTGCCTCTGCCTCCCGAGTGCTGGGATTAAATGCGTGCGCCACCAACGCCCGGCTCTAAGGTAGTTTCAGTGATTGTGATCTGCCCAATGTGGGTGCCGGGAACCTCATCTGGGTCCACCAGAAGAGCAGCGAGCGGTCCTAACCCTGAGCCACGCCTCTCGCTCCTCCCACAAACGTTCATAAGGTGAAGTAGCTGCTGTAATTTCTGTAAATCATCTTAAGTTCTGTAGGGACTTTTGAAGCATATCTAGCGGAGTCTACCATTTCTGGTTCTCTGCCTTCACCGCCCACATGCTGGGATTGTAGGCCAGCGCCACTGTGACCCATTTTATGTGGCCCTGGGGAACAAACCCAGGCCTTCCTGGGTGCTAGGTAAGCACTCTGCCTCTAAGCTGCCTGCCTGCCTGCCCGCCCTCCCTAAATCGAGTCACTGAATGCAGAAATGTCTTGTTTTGCTAAAGAACTCTGAGTGGAGTTTCCCCCAATTTCCTGGAACTCATCATGTGCTGGTTAAATGTAAATCTGTAGTACGTGGTTTTTTTTTTTTAAGTGGGCATTAATTATTTTTCATTTGTGAATTTTGAAGTATTAGTTGTAAAGTAATTTACACTGAAAAGTCAAGCAGAAACTTGCAAAGGTCGAGAGTAATGTAATTGGCAGAACTAAACAATGCCATGGGATTCCAGTCTGCAGCAGCACTCCAAAACAGAATAGACCAGGTCTGATGTCCCTGTGTAAACCTGCGTCTCCTGTCCTGCCAGCAACTCCCAAATAAACACTAAGACTTAGTAGTACTTGTTACTAACTAACACTTATATTTAAACCAACCCATTTGTTTGTTTTGTTTTTTTGTTTTTGGAGACAGGGTTTCTCTGTGGCTTTGGAGGCTGTCCTGGAACTTGCTCTTGTAGACCAGGCTGGCCTCTAACTCACAGAGATCCACCTGTGTCTGCCTCCCGAGTGCTGGGATTAAAGGCATGTGCCACCAATACCCAGCTTGAAACAGGGTTTCTCTGTGTAGCTTTGGAGCCAGTCTTGGAACTCACTCTGTGGACCAGGTTGGCCTCAAACTCATAGAGATCCACCTGCCTCTGCCTCCTGAGTGCTGGAATTAAAGTCATATACCACCACCACCACCCAGCTCCTGTAACAAGTTTTAAGGTAACTTTGTTACAGATTTTCCAGATTTTTTTAAACCACGCCCAATGAATTTACAAATCCTGAATACAGAAAGCTCATACAATGGTCTTACCAATCTTAAGATAAAAGAAAACTTATACTTTAGCCAAAGTTTCAGAAATATGAGAGGGGACATTATTTAGAGAGTTCAGCAAAGCCAAGAAAAGAAATGTGAGCTAAGCAGCCATAATCCCTATCAGAATAGTTTGCTTTTTAGCTGTTTTTAAGGCTATGTTTTTATAAGCTGTTCTGTTTCTCTCTTCTTTTTCCTGTCAAAGTCAGGTGGCCTGCTTTGGGAATCGAGGAGGTCCTGGTGCTCACAGATAAGCACCGGGGAACCTGGAATGTTAAATGCACGCGGTTGTTCCTTCAAAGGAAAGGATGCATCATCACCTGTTAACCACCCAGAAGGCTGGGAGCCGATAGCCTGATGACCTTGGCAGAGAGGGGTGGATCCCTGTGATTAAGTCAGGTTTATTAACCAGGTGCACTCGAAACACAGAACCAGGCCGCCACTCTGCGCACGTTTCAGCTGCTAATCCTCTCAATCCCAAGGGCGATCAGGAGGTCCAGGGAAGGTCACCAAGCTGCTGCTGCCAGCGAGCCCTCCACAGCCCAAGACAGAGAACTTCACCCCACCCCTGGCCTTTTATTCAGGTTATTCGGGTCACATGCACCCAGAGAAGACCACGCCTATTCGGCCAAGCCACCCCAATACTATCGGCTGTCACATCGAATCCCACAACACCTTTGTGTTTTCTGTGTGGCCTCAACCACACCAGATCCTCCCCGAGACCCTTATTAGGAGCTGGCCTATCTGTAGGACCCACCTTTATAGAAGATGTCACGTGTAGTCAACCTGTAGCGCTCATCTCTACAGAGGTGTCACGTGGACTTTACAAATTTTGATATAGTCAATCTGATCTTTAGTTTACTTTGCACTTTTGTATACATGGGACTGAGTTAATTATCACCAGGAAAGTTTTCCCCGAATTATGCTGTACTTAAATAAGCCTAAAATAAACGACTCAGTGTCAGACTTCCAAAGTTTGAACTAACACTGGCTTCTAAGCAGTGCTGAACCTAACTGCCTTCTTGCCTTCCTCCCGCTGACCATGGTTGCAGAGACCTCTCACAGCCTACCTCACCCAGGAGAGAAACTTTGGAGATAATTTTTAAACAAACATGCTTGGGCCTAGAGCAAGCAGGACAAATTCCAACCCCAGAGGCAGCCTTTTTTCATTGGGTAGAAGGGCATGAAACAATTTCTCACTATTATTTACCCAAAAGACATTTGAATCCCTGTAAGACTGAGCCCAGTGATCCACATATCCATAACCAGTTTGTGTGCAT